AGCTACCCTCTCTCTGTGTTCACATGGGAGAGGGACAGGTTTGGTTCTTCCTCTTCTTATAAGGGCACCAACCCTATTGGATTAGGACATCACTCTTATGACTCCCTTAATCTTAATTACTTCCTGAAGGCCCTATCTCCAAATGCAGTCATACTGGGGGATGGGGTTCAATTGACTCATTGTCTAAAATATCTGGAAATGCAGTGCTCAGTAAGAAGTAACAAATAAAAAGTCTAAATTGGTTTTACAAAGTGTGTAGTAACCAAGAACCATGGGATGACTACATGCCAGGCACAGATTTCACCAAAGCACCTTACACCTACAGTCTCATTTGTTTCTCATGACAATGTGGCAGATATGACTGTTAGCCCCACTTAACACAAGAAGAAGAGGAAGTGGAAGGTGACTGGAGAGTGGGTATATAACTTGCCTGTTATAGATTAAGTTCATCTCCAGATATTTCGGACAATGAGCCAGCTAACTCACTACCCATTCTTCCCTCAGAAAATGTTCATTAAAAAATATTCAATCTCTCCAAAAATATATGCTGAATTGTTCAGGATTTCCATTCCCACCCTCAAACATAGATAAAGCCTTTGCTTCGTCATATAACTTTCCTGCGTTGTCCACTCTCTCTACCACCACATCCACTGCCCCTCCCCCATGCCTTTGTTTTGGTCAACATATCCCAAGAGTGCTGAGACAATAATTAGGGTGAGATTTATTCAATGTTTAGAACTTTATTTCTTTATTTTATAACTAAATACTACATTCTAGCCAATGTCAACTTTTTTCCAGCTAAGCAACTTTGGGAATATGAGGTCAAGGCATCAAGAGTATCAGTGGGTATAATCAGGAGGGGGAAAGGAAAGAAAAAAGTGATAATTAAATATAGAAAGAATAGTATTTTGCCAAAGTAAAAGGTCTGTAAAGGCAGCACAGCACTTTAGAAAGAACCTGAGAAATATGTTATTACTTTATCCATAAACCTCTAAGTACTTCTTAGGAAGAGTTCATGCTTTTTTGCATTGCAATTGTATCCATCTCCAAGTGAAAAGTACTGACCTCCTGATATCTCTTTGGGGTTTTGCAATGGGTTACTCTTCTTAAGACAAGCTCGGAAGTACATTTTGTGTTAGCAAACTCCTACACAAGGAGGTAAGTCACAGCATTGGCATGAACTTAAAGTGACCATTACACTACTTTAAAATTCTAACAGATAAGATGTGTATTACAAAAAGTTGTACAAAGCTAAGCAAGGTCACCCACTTTGCGCAAATGTAAAAGCCTGGCATTTCAAACTTCAGAAATTGCAAGGTCACAGGAAATACAAAATGCCCAGGTTTCCCCCACCCCTACCTTTCTGTCCAGGTCAAACAAAGGTCCCTTGTGCACATTCAGTTCTTTGAAATGCACTCTTGATTTTAAATTCTACTTTAAGAATTCAGGGACTGATCTGGTTAATTCTCTTCCTAAAAAAAGTGGTAAAGCCTGCTCAGTGAGACTTGAGGTGTTAAAAGTCTGGATTTGCCCAGCAAACAGTTTGGATTATTTGCATTACAAAGCAGTTATTTAAAGTGGTAGTTCCTCTGGTGCACTTAAGTCTCTTATGGATCATTAACTGCTTGAGAGAGCTGGGAAACAGAGTGAAGTGGGATAGCCATTTCCAGGTAAAACTGCTTCTTTTTCCAAAAAGAAAAATAAATCGAAAGACTCTCAGAGACTCTCACGTTTCCTCAAAGGTAAAGTGAGTTCTTATTTACAGAAAGCTCTCAGGAACAGCATGTTGAAAATGAGGCACAGAGCCGTAGGCCAACGAGCATTTGTTGTACTCGGCTACAGGCCAGACCTTAGACCAGGTGCATTATGTATTATTGCATTTAATCCTTCAAGCATACATGAAATGTGGTATTCTCATCCCTACTTCAAGATGCAGAAAATTAGGCTCAGAGACTTACAAGGATTTTCAAGATGGTTCAGAACCAAGGTCTGCTAAGGAAGGGGCCTGTGCTTTTTCCATGTTGGACAATATCAAACCAAAAGCTGGGAGAAGGTGATGATGTAATACAGAGTGACTATCTCACACTGACACGCTTCTCCATCCATTTCTTTGCTTGCTTTTTTTTTTTTTTCTTAAAAAGTTAGGTAAATTTCTTTAAAAATATGAATGATTTTACAGTGTTTAACACAGCAATAAATAATAGAAAAGTCAGTGTTATTACCTACTCTAAGAAAAATGGTTATCTCACTACGGTATCCTTACTTAACCTATAGAATAATAGTTTGTCTTATATCGATTGCCTGGATAGTTCAGTTGGTTAAGTGTCAGACACTGGACACTTGATTCTAGTTTAGGTCATAATCTCAGGTAGTGAGATTGAGCCTGGAGTGGGGTTCCCTCTGCCTTGCCTTGCTTGTGTGTGTGTGTGCACTCTCTCTCTGTCTCTCAAAAAAAAAGGAATTATACTTTTCATTATATAGAATTATGGGTTATAGATCTTGGAGGGTAGAGGGGATGGTAAGAAATAAAGTTAAAGGCAAATATATCCAAATACCTTTGATTTAATTATAATACGGCTTATATAATAAGATAGAGGCATATAGATGAATTTTGGTCTCATATGTACCTAGACTAAGGCATTCAGTTGTTACATTGGATTAACACTGACCTGGGGGAGCTTGGAAGCTCCAGTGTTCTACTTTGCCATTCCATTTTTAGACATTATAGTCTAGAGGTCTATTTGCTGTCACACAGGGCCAAAGGGTGACAGCTTGGTTTTAGAAATCAGATTCTCTGATGCCAAAAGAGCAGAGAGTATGAGAAACTGGATGCTATTTGTTATATGGTGCAGATTTCAGGGTAATTGTCATCCTACATGAGCCACAGAAACCATGGGCAATGTTGAAACAAAGAGAAAGGAGCCAAGATTTGGAGTGAGAAGACCTGGCTTTGAGTCTTGGTCCTGTCCTTGCTACCTGTACCAGACTGGTCTGGTCTGAGCCTTGTTGTTGGAGCACCTGGAACAGAAGTGCTAAATAAATTTTAACACTTTTTATTATTATTAGATATTCAAACAAAATCCCCTTACAGCAACACTGCCTTTGAAGTGGTCAAAGACAAAGCTGTATGATGCTAAACTATGTCAATGTCAAGATATGTCCTATGGAATTGTTGCCTGTCCCACAGTACCTAAAAGATGTCCCCCAGTTCAGTGGCTCAGCCATTAGAAATTTAGCCATCTTCAGACATTTTTAGGCTCTGAAGGTAACACCATCCAAATCTGGTTTAATTTGATTTAGATAAATATCTTTTTTTTAATGAGGATAACAGCCAAGTCTACTGGTTTTTAGAATTAAGCCATTAACTTTCAAATTTCTGTTTTTACCCTTCCTTTCTTCTCCTGTCCCCACCCTTTCCATTTCCTTTTCTTCTCTTCCCTCCTCTTCCCCCTTTTCCTCCATACACCCTTTGCTTTGCTTTCTTCTCTTCTCCCACCCCCACCCTACCTCTTTGTCTCTATCTGTCTCTCAGAAGCTGTGTTAGGCCTGACTGAGCACAGATACCCATCAGATGCAGTCCCTACCCACAGTCCAAGAAGAGTGATAAGTTTGGACAGGTAAAGGGGAATGCAGCAAGGTAGAATGTGGTAAACATTTCAAGTACCCCGATGATTTAGGGGAAAGATCACCAAGAGAAATTTGAAAGGTTCTTATGATGTGAACTTTGAGCTGACCCCTAAGAGATGGTTAGAGTCTAGCCATATGAAGGCTTAAAGAGAGTAGAGAAGGACGTGTATTCCAAGGTAAGGAAGCCAAAAGAGCAAAGCCATGAAGGTGGGCTTCTCTTGAGAATCAATGCAAGAGATTAGCTCCAACAATGAGTGTATCTTCTCTTCTCTGTCCTTTTACAGCATCAGCTCGGACACTCTTCCCAGCAAACGTGGGTTTGGTGGAGACAATTCCTGGCTCTGACCTGCATTCCTTAGACAACAAATTGTTTCCCAGGGTGGACTTCCCTTGCCATCCTTCCTAGCTCCTGAGGTGTTCCAGTCATTCTAGTGGATTTTACACAGCATTTACCCATTCAAATAATAACCACAGTTATTGCCATGTCTGTCTCTGAGGTACCATTGTGTTACCTGTTACTTAATCCAGTTCTACTCGCTCTGGTTTTATTCTATGATGAAGTCAGCAGTGAACTTCAAGGAAAGCAGCTTCAGTTAGGCTTATGCAAAAAGGTACCTCCTTCAATCCTAGTCATGCTAACCTTTGGACAGTCACCTCTGGGCACCTGCAGTCCATGCATTCAGTAATGGGCAAACATCCATTCATTCTGTCTCACTGGGCAGGTCACAGTTTTCCACATGGATGAGGATATAAGGGACAATAAAACATGGTTTCTATCTTCCAGATGGTCTGGATGAACTAAGAGAATGCAAGGCAGAAAGTGATTTGGAGCACAAGAGAGGGTGGTTAGGATCTTTGGGAGTCAGTAAAATGATAGACCCTACCCCCCACCCCAGCAAGATGGTGTTATAGGGGCTGTCCCAGGAGAGGTAGAACTGAGGTTAAGCCTGGAAACACTGGGATGGTTTGATTGATCTGGTTTCCCCATCCTCAGAGACCAGCAGAAACCCTTTGGAGTGCTTATCTGTTTGCCTTTTTTTTTTTTTTCTGTGAAATGTTGCATCTGGCTGTGGCCTCATAGCTTGGAGGATACTGGGGATAACTAGCTCTTTTCTGAGACTCTACCTCCCTACCCTTGAGTTTTATTATATGTGCCATTATCTCATATTCACACCCAGATTCCTCAGTAAAGGATGACAAATTTTTCCCTCAAGGCTTTTTATCTACTAGTTTTCAAGGGCATGTAATTTTGTGTAGAAGGTTTATTAACTTCATGAGTTTATAGGATTATGTTACAATGATGTATCCTAGGTTGAATTTTTGCCCAATTACTTCTTTTAACTTCATGGGGGTTTTGGTGTCTATTTCCTTAGGATGAATTCCAAACTTACTCATGGAAAAAGATAATGTGGATCTACCTGTCATCATTAAACGGTGCATCTGGTGTCACTCCTGACCACCCTCTCATTACAGATGAGGAGTACGTCATAAATAGAGCCATCAGAAAGCCAGACCTAAAGGTAAGTAAATTGTGGTAACTGCTAATGCTAGAGAAATGTAATCTTTTTCCCAAAAAATGTAAGTTTAGATCCTTCACCATGCCAATCCTCAACAGTATGCAGAGAACATTATAAAGAATGTGTACTTTGGAGTTAGAACTAAGTTCAAATCTTAGCTTCATCTTTCTAAACTGTATAGCCTTGGATCCATTACTAAACTCTATTGAGCCTCTTTCCTCATATATAAAATTATCATGATAATGCCTACCTCCAATGTTCGTTAATGACATTCAGTAAGTTAAGGAATACAAAGATCAATATGGTACCAGGCACATAGTAAATGCTCAGTACACATTAATGCTTTGTAGCATCAGGTCCCATATGATAATTTGTGAAATAGGGTTTCTCTTACTGTAGAGGTAGTCACCCAGAAACATCCCAGGGGTTTTGCTTATGTCTGCAAAATGATCTTATTTTGAGTTCTGTCATTCAAATGTATTTGGGTTACTCCTTCTTCTCCATATTAAATTAGTACTACTTAGATTATGACTAGGTAACATTCATATTAAAAGCATTTTATAAGACAGACTGTTTTTTCTTAAATTTATGTATGTGTAGACAGCGGTTCAGTTTTATGAGCTCAAGGTCAGTTTTTAAAAATAATAAAAGTCAATTACTGAGCAGTTTATTGTCCATTATTATCATCCAATTGCCTTAACTACCAAAAATAAAAGAGGTCAAACACCTTCAACTAACAGATTGCATAATCTGTCACATGGTTATTCACCTGGAAAAGTAGGCATCCCAAATTGATTTTATGGACCTGACCTCAGATTATTATTGACCTCCAGGTTCTTTAATTGCATCAAACAAATAAGTAGACAATGAGATGAAGAAATGGTCAAATAAACAAAATGTAAAAAAGGTCAGAGGTCTTGAAATGAAAACTCTGGCACCAGGCTTGATGTCTTCATTTACCACATATGGCTTAGAGAGTTTGTCTCTCTGAGCCTTGAACTTCTTATTTATAAAATGAGAGCAATAACTCCTTCTGTGCCTGTTTCTCAGGCCATTGTAAACTTAAGATGAGAAGGTAGATATTAAGGTGATTTGTGAACTGTGTGAGTTACATTCATAAAGGATAGAAACTTCATTGAAATTGGAGGAGGTGCCACAGGCTCAGCCATGATAATACTGATGGTGACAGTCAGAAGAGCAACAGTACCAACATGACAACCATTTGGGCCCTTTGGGGAGAGTTTGGAGACATGTGGCAAGGAGCTCTGTCAGGTTTACAGACGCAGGCTAAGAGGAGACTTTAAGGATCATCATGGGATATCATGCAAAACTAAATCCCAGTGCTTAACCTGTTAAACAGGACACTCACAATGTGTTCCAACAAGAAATGAGGAACAGGAACCCTGGGCAGGGGCAAGCTTCCTGGTTCTGAGCAGAAAGATGAGTCACCCCACAGTATACCCTTGATGTCCTAATTTATATTTCCTGGTATGAAGTTCCAGGAAATGTGCAAGTAGACTCCCCCCCCCCATGCAAATTTTGTGCTTAATATTCTCTTACCAGCATCCAGAGCCTCTGAAGGGTATGAGGGAGGCAGAGCAACTCCAGGCTGAGATGATTCTTGCTAGGAAAATGTAAGGATATTTGAAAGGTGTATGATGGGGTCATTCTTCTCACTCTGTGAGGAATGGCCTCAAGAAATTATCAGGAGATAATAGAACTTTCTATTTTCTGGCCTGAGGTAAAATTTACGGCCACCTCTTATTCCCCATCATTGCTGCCTTCACCTGCTGATGTTTTGTGTCTATTATGTTTTATAAGCTTCTCAGTCTCAGTCTGTGCTTTCATGTCCTTTGGATTTAGGTTCCCTCATGGAGCAGGGGCCTCATTTTCTCCCACAGCTTGTCCTTTAAAAATGTTCTAACTTAGATTTTTGAACCTATGGAATTAAAAAGGGGGCAACATCACTTTATACAGCTTGAAACCTGCCAACAATGGGATTATCCAGACCTTCTGAGACTAGCATGAACATCATGCCCCTTAAGAGACTGGACTTTGGAAGCCAGATGGGTTTGAGTTCAAATTCAACCCCTGCTTCTTAATAAGTGTGATAGTGGGCAAATGATTAAATCAAAATGAACTTCAAGGATGAAGTGAAGGTGAAAGTAACCCCTGCCCTTCCAGAAGATGATGAAAAAGACTAGAGACCAGAGAGAATGTATAAAAAGCCCCCAAGTACTCAACAGGCAGTAGCTATGAGTACAGTCCAGCTCTGCTTGCAGAACTGCAGGGACTGAACAGGGATGGCAGGTGTAAGGCAAGAAGCGTGAGGTCCCTACATGGGCATGACTACCTTCATACCCTCTTTCCTTCCTTCAACTTGAAGCTTGTGAAGAAAGAATCACTTCCAGCAGCGGTGCACTTCCAATTTTATACATTGAAAATAAATTGGAAAATAGGATTTATTTTTTGAAGTTATTTTGCAACCTATCTTGCTGAAATAAATCAATTCTGTAAAATAAAACATCTAGCATTTAACACTCTTACCAGGTAACTATGTATATATGTATATGTGCGCGTGCACCTGTGTGCACGTATATCTTTATTGAACAATGTTAAGCTTCATTTAGTGTAACTCAGATCTTGAAGCTTAGGAATTTAACCCTTATTTGTAGTTGTCATGTGGTTGTACAAAGCATTCATTCACTTATTTACTAAAAAATGTATCGAATATTTACTGATGTTTCAGCTATATGCTCTTTCCAGGTCTAGAATTGAACGATTATGTGGACCATACTATCTATGGGTATAGATACATATTCGGAACAGCTGCAGTGGAAATTAGAGATGATCTGCTCAGTTGCCTCAGTTTATTCATAGGGAAACTAAGGTATAGAGAAATTTACTCAAATTTCTCAAGGACACAATTATCAGAGTAGCTATAAAAGGAAGAACACTGTTTCTTAACTTTGACTGTACATTTGAACTATCTGAGGAAAATTTAAGAATATTTATGGCCAGGTTGCACCCTTGACAAATAAAATCAGAATCTCTTGGGAGCCAGACCCAGGCATTAGTATTTTTTTTAAATATTTTATTTATTTATTCATAGAAACAGAGAGAGAGAGAGAGAGAGGCAGAGACACAGGCAAAAGGAGAAGAAGGCTCCATGCAGAGAGCCTGACGTGGGACTCGATCCAGGGTCTCCAGGATCACATCCTGGGCGCTAAACCGCTGCACCACCGGGGCTGCCTGACATTAGTATTTTTTAAAGCTTCACAATTAATTCCAATGGACAAAATGAGATTATAACCGTTGCTCCATAACAGTATGACAGTCTTGCTGTATCTCCTTGTGCTTAGTTGATAACCAGTTAATGGAGATTCAGATTTGCATATAAAATTGTTTAAAGAAACCAGAAACAAGAATGCATAGTTGCCATTACCCTTAATTCTACCTTTTCTTTTCACTGCCCACACCCTCAGACCCTCACTTCCTGGAGCACATTTTCTTGCAATAGCCTCCTCACTGTTTTCTAGAACCTGCTGCCTGCCTAATCTTTGTCATTGTGTCTTCTATAGTTTTCTCTGCAAGTCCATTGCCTACAAGAAAAAGTCCTAGATACCTCATCCTAGCATTTAAGTATGTAAACTCTGATCTTTATTTATCTTTCCAGCCTCATTCTCAGTCTGCAGTCAAAATGCCCACTCATTTGCCCCTCCCCACAACTAACTTGCGGCACAACTAACTTGTGCATAATCTCTTTGAAATGCCATTTTCCCTTCTCATCTGAGCAAAAGTCTTCCAACCATTCAAGGCCACAGCTCAGATATCATCTCCTTTATGATGCCTTCGGTCATCTGCCCTCTCTCTATTTTAATACTGTAAATTTTACTTTATTATATTTTTCTTTGACACATATATGCTTGGCTGTATGGTATACTTTTCTCTCTTTTTAAAAAGATATTTGTTTGTTTGTTTGTTTGTTTAAAGAGAGAGAGAGACAACATGAGCACTAGTGGGAGGGGCAGAAGGAAAGGGAAAGAAAATCTCAAGCAGACTCCACACTCAGCATAGAGCTCAATTCGGGGCTCCATCTCACGACCCTGAGATCAGGGCCCTGAGATCAGAACCTGAGCTGAAAACAAGAGTTGACCACTTAACACTTTCTTCCCTTGTTGGGTTATCAAATAGTGGAATGCTGAGACTGAGTTTTATTCATATGCTTATCCAAATAGTAGGCCTATGATATATGTCAACTGAAGTTACACTTCTAATAAAGAGTGCCATTTGTGTATTAGGGAAGGTTGGGGTAATTTAGGATAGGATAATCGTAATAAGTATTTTAGGGCTCTGTCTTTGCTCCTTCCACGGATACTTCTTTAGCCACTAAACTTCTATGTATTTACTGATCATTATACTAGAGACTTTCTTAGTACTTTTCTTTTGCAGGTGAGATGCATAAAAGTGCAGAAAATAAGATATGTTTGGAACAACTTAGAAGGACAGTTCCAAAAAATTGGGTAAGTTGTTTTGGCAGTTTCATCAAAAACAGAGAAATTTATCTCAAAAACATTATTTCTAAATATGTCTTTCTCATTATTATTATTTCAGCTGTTTGGAAGACTGGCTCAGTTCTGCCAAGATACACCTAAAATTTGGATCAGGTCTAACAAAAGAAGAACAAGAGATTAGGTACTATACCTACTGTTATCTATATCAGCTCAAAAGGACAGTTGCCATTAGCCAAACAGAGCCAGTCAATATCAGAAAACCTTACAATGCTCTGTTCAGTATTGTTAAATGCATGTACATACATTATCTCACTTCATCAGGGCAGCCTTGTGGGGGAGGTAGAAAAAATATCCTTATCATCCCAATATAATGCATGAGGCTCACAGAGGTTTAATGGCTTGAACGAGGTCACACAGATGGGAAGTGATAGAAGAAGAGCTGAGTCTCATACTCTGACCAGTTTAATTCTCTTTCTACTCTGTACAATGCTTCTCAGGGTTATAATAATGAGGTTGAGCCAGTTTTGATTGTAATCAGGAAATATATATTATACTAAGGTAACATAGTTGAATAATAATTGTAGAGCAGCAGAAAGTATTGTGTGAGACCTGCAGCTTCATGATTCCAAGTCAGTTCCTGGGCAGAGGAGCAAGGCTTAGGAAGGGCACAGTATTTAATTTAAGAGTCTATCAATAATTCACTGTGTGGTTTTGGGCAAGTAACTTCTCATACCCGGGATTTGGTTGCCTAATTGTTAACAAGAGAAGAAGGATTCTGTAAAGGATTCTTAGGCCCTGCTGGTCCTAAGTTTCTATGATTCTTACATTCTCCTCCAGCCCCTTTTCCGTTAATTGAAGGGACCTGCATCAGCATCACCTTTTTGGCTGATCACCTGCTTGTTGATCACCTGCTTGTTAGAAATGCAGAATTGTAGACCACACATCATCCTTGTTGAATCAAAATCTTCACATTAACAGGTCATGAAGTTATCTGTATGAATATTAAAGTTCATAAGGCACTGTTAAGTTCCAGAGACACTGTTCTAATATATTTGGCCAAGCTATTTGTTTTTTTTAAGATTTATTAATTTATTCATGAGAGATACACAGAGAGACAGAGACAGAGACATAGACATAGGCAGAGAGAAAAGCAGGCTCCTTGCAGGGAGCCCAGTGTGGGACTCAACCCCAGATTCCAGGATCACGCCCTGAGCCAAAGGCAGACGCTCAACTACTGAGCGACCCAGGCATCCCTGGCCAAGCTATTTGATCTGAACATCTATGTAGAAGGAACGGAGAAACTGGCTAGTGTTCTCAACAGCAAAATAACTCAGAAAGGGTCATTGATCTGCATAATCAAAGAAACATATCTCTAGGTTTTCAGTTAACGGATTGTATAACTGTGTATGATAGCTATTTTTGAGATCCCAACATCTTTTCACTCACATTAAAACAAATTCTGCAGCTTCCCAGAGCTGAACAGGAGTAAGAAGGTAGGTCTGACATTTCTAAACAGTAAAATGATTTTCTTGTAATGATTCCTCCATCCCACATCCACACAGCCAAAGTTGGGGACAGAGTTGAGAGAATGCCAACCTTGAAACTACTTGAATGAGACAATGGCTCAATTAAATACCAAAATTGTCATCAGGGAAATATTTAGACCTGAGGAAGAATCTAATTCAGTAGATGCAATATGATCATGTTTATTATTTTTACCCTTGGGAACTCTCCCCTTCCTCAGTTATTTTGATAGGATGAGGACATTATGTTACAAAGGGGGCTTATGCTGATTGTGAGAAAGTGAATAGACCCTTTTTTGAATGAGTGAAAAATGAGTGTCATTTTTATTATTAATGACTGACTTATATATGATCTTTCCTATAGGAGGCTAATATGTGGGCCTAACACTATTGATGTTGAAATCACACCAATTTGGAAACTACTCATCAAGGAGGTAATCTGTACTTTCTCTTGGTGCTGGGTAGGGAATAAAGAAGCTTAGTTCTAGTCAAATTATCAAGAATGCTAATTGCTAATAAGTAACTGCAATTTGGAATACTTCAGAAGGATACAAAATATAGTTTCTTCATACCTATTTTCTACTCTTCTTGGAGACCATCTTTTGCATACATTGCCTGATACAGTAGAAGATGATGCTCATGTGTCTACTTATCCTTCTATAACTAGATGAACATACATTTCTTCTCTTTCTTTCCTTTTTAATTCTATGTGTCTTTATCTGTCTCAACTTTGTGAAACTAAAATAATAACTAAAAAGTTAAAAACTCAAGATTTTCCTTATGGACAACATATACAATTTCCTCAGCATCTAAAATTATAGGAAGAAGAACATCTGTTTGGCCTTATTAGTTCTCTTGACCTCAGTGTGTGTGTGGGAGAGAAAAAAAGGACTTGACCATCATTTACTGAGTTTATTTTTTCCTCTTTTACTACCACAGGGCTTATTTTTCATTTTGCAGTGGTTATTATGAAGCTATAACCATACAGCTGTACTCTGGGTCTTTTTCTGCACTTTGCTACTTGCTTTATATAAAGCTATTTTCTCAATATTTCTAGCAAGCTTTCTTTCAGGCATGAAAGGAAGCAAAAGAAACTGATAGGAAATGTTTCTGTGCACTCCTTCCTTAACCAGTGGCAAGGATTACTATTCCCATCCTAGACAAATGAAAATCAACCAGTATTTGAGTAAGTGTGCAAACTGTCTTAAACCAAAACAGGCTAACGACTATTGGAGTTAGACTCTCCTTTATCCCACAGTGTTCTAGTTGTTCTGGTGACAATTTCCCACTTGCAGCTTGGCTTTCTACTTATGAGCAATTGTAGTCTTCAAATTATCCATTGATCTAAAGTATTTTGATGGCTTTGAAGATGGCAGATGGTGTGTCTTAGGGTAGAACAGCAGAATTGAGAACATTTTAACTGTAGACCTGAACATTTCACTCTTCCGATGGCCAGTACATGTAAACTGGACCTGATATCCATACTCTACACCCTTGTAATGGTCACCATGAGGACCCATGAGACACTACTTTGTAAATTATAAGGTGCAGCAGTAATTAAAAGTAAGTGCTCCTGGGCCAGATTGCCTGAGCTCAAGCCCTAATCTTGACTGTTGCAGCTGTGTGACCTTGAGCAGTTTGTCAAGATCTGAGGCTCAGCTTCTCCATCTTTGCAATAGTGATAAGTAATAGCTTCTGGGTAATAAGGTAATTATGGAAATTAAATGAGAAAATTCAGGTAAAGTTGCTCAGTGCAGTGTCTGGCACATGGCAATTGCTGGATAAATATAATAATGAGAATATTGTGTGTGGTAATTTGTGTCACAGAGATGCTTATGAAAGCAAACAAGTCAATGAATAGCTAAAAGTGAAGACTAAATATTCCCTTTGTCTTCCTGTTTTCCTGCCAACAGGTTTTAAATCCATTTTACATATTTCAGCTCTTCAGTGTCTGTTTGTGGTTTAGTGAAGACTATAAGGAATATGCTTTTGCCATCATAATCATGTCTATCATGTCCATAGCTTTGACGGTGTATGATCTCAGAGAGGTGAGTTTTTTCCCACCAATCTTGTGGCTGCAGAAAGGAAACAGTAGTGACTTTATTGAAATTTTGTTAGAAAAAGGAATCAGGAAATAGTCATTGCCCACTCCACAATAAATGAGACCAAGTTTGTGAATATATAGCCCAAGTAACGATGCTGAATAATGTTAGTCCTTTTCCTTCCCTCACATCCCAATTCCTAGACTTCTGAGTAATTTTCCCCCTTTAGTTTACTCAGGCTGATGAGAAGAGTTTACAAATATCTATGAATTATGAATAAATGAAAAAGTAGGTGCTCTAACATTGTTGTATCTTGAAGATGGTGGAAGAGGGTGGAAGGTGGAAGAGTCTATTTAATAATGACTCTTTTGCTCTTTTTATTTGGTTGGTACTGACTTGTCAAAGCCTGAGTCTGACACTTGGCTTTCTTTATGCCCACACTAGGGAATCTAAGTGCTGTTGAGAAAAAGTCATGTAGAACAGACTGGTTGATCACACTCTAAATCCATGAATGCTATCCTCATCTGGGCAAGATTTCTGTATGTCCCTGATCAATGCATTCTCCCATTCTCAAAATTAAGGTTTCAAACCAAATCTCTCTTCAGCTTTCATGAGATACTCCATTGCTTTTATTCCACTTCTCCTCTAATTCAGCAGATAATCTCACCACTTGTTCCACAAAGAGGACAGAAACAATAAGGCAGGAATTTGCTCAATTTCCCACTCTCCAACTGCCAAATGACCCATCTCTCCCTTCCTCTTGCCCAGTCCACTCATTACAGAGGACAAGGGGACTTCTGCCTGTGTTTGCAATAGTACCCTTTCCCACTTGCTCAAAGTGCTTATGTAGTCACTGAATGATCTCTCTACTCCCCACCCAAAGGGCCTTTCCGTCAACGTTAAACATGCTCAAGCCAGGTAAAAATCCTTTCTCCTGACCAAGCTTCTACCTTTAGCTACTACTCTATCTCTCTTCTCCCTTTTTACAGCAAAACTTCTTTATGCCTACTCTCATCACTTCCTCATCTGCCTCTCACTTCTCACTATACTGACCTGATTTTCTCTCTTGTGACTCCATTAAAGAACTCTTGTTAAGGTCACCACTATAATCCTAAGGCCATGGGTAGTTTAAATTTTTTTTTAATTCCCTTTTTAAATTTGTTATTTTTTTTCTTAGTAGAAGGGGTAATATATTGACATGATTTTTAAAAAGCTCAAATAGAACAAAACAGTGTACATAAAAAGTAAATATTCCTCCCATCTTGGTTCTTCCAGTATCCAGGTTCCTTTCCCAATGGTATCCACTGGGGCCAAATGCTCTATAATGTTCAGAAGTTTTAAACAATCTATTTAATTCAAAGTCACTTGTTTAGGAAAGATTTCTATTGCTTCCATTGGCTATATATGCTCCAAAAGCACATCTTTTTCCTTATTACTAATCATAATGATACATTTATGTTTGTGATTATTTGACTGAAATTGTTTTTCCCAGTCGGTTGTAAATTCCTTGCTAGAACTTTTTTGACTATTCTATCCTCACCTCTTAGCATAGTTTCTGATATAGAAAGGTTATTTAATAAAGGTTGAGTGAAAGCAAAAATGAATAAAAGAATAGGTTAATAGAATACTCTTTCACCTTATATTATTCTATTAATCATTCTTAGGACATATTAATCATATTTGTAAATGATTTGATGCAAGGAGATTTAGGGGCTGTCTTAAATGGCAAAATTGGAATAAATAAATGAATATACTAAATGATTAGGAGTTTTAACCCTAATAGTTCTTTTAACCCACATAGTTCTTTTACAAAACAGTTCCTTAATCAATGTGAAATCTAGCATAATTTTATTTTATTTTTCTTTTCTATCTTCTTATTGATTCACTCTCAATGTCCCATGTATTTCATATATTAAAATAACATATACGATGAGGAAATATCAGGCACCACCAAACTCTTTATGAAGTTATAGATTAGGAACTCTGATGAGGTGTAACTCAAAGCTGAAATGACTATTAGTTCTCAAAGCTATTTAGGTATAAACATATATCTTGAATGATTAAAGTTCTTGATGTTCTTTACTGAAATAACTAAACATAAAATTTATGCTTATCAAAAATTACTTTGAGTGAACCGAGCATGCTGGGAAATTCCTTTCTATCAAAGAACACATACTTCTTATTGCTGGTGAGCAGCACAGCAAGTTGGATGACTTTTCAGTTGACTGATAGGCTACTTAGTCTTTTGTTTTTAGTCAGTGTATTCAGCTGGAAACAAGACACTGCTCTATCTTTAAAGAGACCGGCACTTTACTGAATTAATACCTGGTACCTACCTTCAAATAGATAAGCATTTTTCTATTTTCTGTTCTTCTTTTTCAGCAATCTGTAAAACTCCACCGTCTAGTTGAGTCACATAATAGCATTACAGTCTCTGTATTTGTGAGAAAAGGTAAGTCTCATTATTTTAGATCTATGTGTTGTTCATATGAAATCAAAACAAGATTTAAATTTGTATCTCTGACTGTTTCTACTACTCTCATCTTCATATACCCTTTTTTTCCTGTGCATTTACTTAAAAGAATGAGGTACGTGCAACATTTTCACCTTAAAAAAAAACTTTATTTAAAAAAATAAAACAACTTTATTGAGGTAAAGTAGACATTGATGAACTGAACATATTTAAAATGTACAATTTGATAGATTTTGACTTATATACATCTGTGTAACTATCCATGAAACTATCACCACAATAAAGATAATGACTACTCATTACCCCCAAAGGTTGTCTTTTGCCTGTTTGCAATCATCCTTCTCAACCTCTCTCTACCCATCCCCATCCTCAGACAACCACTTTGCATGTTTAGAATTTTATATTAATGGTATCATACAGTAGACATTTTTTGTCTTTTATAATACATTTTGGATAGGTTTTACTGGGATCAAATTCCCAATTATTTTAAAATGCATTCATTTTGTTAAGTATGTCAATAGTCTATTCCTTTTTGTTCCTGAGTAGAATCCCAGTATATGGATAGACTAGTTTGTATATCCATTCACCTACTGATGAAAATTTGGGTTGTTCCTAGAATCAGGATATTACAAATAATGCCTCAATGAAAATTTGGGTTCAAGTCTTTGCATGGACTACACTTTTATTTGTTATGGGAAAATACAGAACTGTAGAACGACTGGGTCATATGGGCATGTAAATGTTTAACTTTTCAGGAAACTTGCCAAACTATTTTCAAAACTGTTTGTATCATTGTACATTCTTAACAGCAGTATATGGGAACTGAAGTTGCTTTACATTCTTGTCTACATTTGATATGGTCAGTTTAAAAAATTTTAGCCATTTTAACAGATGTGTAGTGGTACCTAATTGTAGCTTTAATTTGCATTTCCCTAATGAGTAATGGGACTGACCATCTTTTCAAGTGCTGATTTTATGTATCTTCCTTGGTGAAATGTCCGTTCAAATCTTTTGCTTATTAGGTTGTTTTCTAATTATTAACTTTTGAGAAGAAGTTCTTTCTATATTCTGAATCTAAATCCTTTACTACAAATATGATTTGCATATTCTTTTCTCACTCTGTGACTTATCTTTTCCATTCTCTTTATAGTGTCTCCCAAAGGATGAATATTTCTACTTTTATTAAAGTCCAGTTATTAATTTTTTCTTTTATGGATCTTGCTTTTTGTATCTTATCTAGGACATCTTTGCCTAATCCAAGGTTATCAAGCTTTTCTATGGTGTCCTAACATATATAAGTGCTTAATACATAAATTGTTAATGAATATCTATTCAATAAATTGAGGTGAGGTACTTTTTGATTTTCAATAATGCATTTTTATAACAATACAGGAGGAAAATATTGGTGATTTTCTTCCTAGAATGAGTTCATCAGATCCTTCTCAATATGAAGGGCTACAAGCTGGAGACTTACTTGGAAACCTTATACACTTGGGGAATTTGTTAAAGATTAGGGTAGATTGAACAGATTTAACAGTATTTAACAACTTCATTGCATAGGAAGTTTGGGAGTACAAAGTAGGAAGTTTATCTAAAGGATTGAATAGCCTGAACGACTCATTTTATCAAGAAATCATCCACAGTTTTTAAAATGGGATAGTAATTATGAATATAGCCTGGTGGATATAATTCTAGTCTTTATCCAACCCTCATGAACCTATCTATCTGGTTCCCAGAAGGAGAGGGCTATAATTAACAACTGCAACAGATATTTTCCTGTAATACAAACAAACAAAAACCTATAAAATTTGTAGCCTAAGCAGAAATGATTTGGGTTCCAGGATCAAATGTTATATAAAATATGGAGTAATGCCCCCCTCTCACACTTCACCTTAGACCTTCACAAAATAGAGTTCTTTACAAAATGGAAATGTCTTGCGAGAGAGAGAGAGAGAGAGAGAGAGAGAGAGAGAGAGAGAGAGCCACATAAGATCAAATCAAGTATTGCCATTTTGTCTTACAAGTTGGTAGCGAAACCCAGCCTGCTTGCTTGGCTTTATTTACTTATGGTAGCTAAGAGTTTGTGAATGGTGCTGAAAAACTGGGTGCTTTGCAGGGTTTATAACTGAGTTGGCTTTGGTGAGTAGAGGGACATATTTTTGAACTCCCAAATAATCAGCAACACCGCTACCTTTTCCTTTCAAGAGCCTATTGGTGAAGTCCTTGGTGGCTAGCTGGTAGCCATGAGTATATTGTTTTGTTTTGTCTTTCCTCCAGGTATAAGAGGCCTTCTCCATAATAAACATCATTAATGAGCCTTCTAATGTACAAATAAACTTGCAATCTTTCCAGACAATTCTTTGCTCCTTACTGTAAAATAGCATAGATCTGGTCTTCTAGTTTTTCTCTTTTCAGGTACAATAGGAAAGTTAACATAATAATAGGTGGAGTTCTGCCCACCGTGAAGGTTTTCTTCTCCATAGTTATTCTGGGACTCTTTTAAGCCAGGATCTAATACCATGAAATGTTTGGGATTCTTTCTTGTCTAATAATGTCCGCAAAAAACTTCATCTGAGGTCTTAGATGTAGGCTGAGGAAGAGACAGCAGAATGACAGAATTGGAAAAACATGTTGGGAAGTGAGAAAACTGTTCTTGAAATTCACTTGGACTTTCAACATCTGTTTAGGTCTTATTTTGTATATAACTCTTCTACTTGATAATTTAATGCTGTTGGGAATTCATAATTTATAAGGCCAGCCATATCAAATAATGTTAAATTCATGATAGGTGGGTAAGGGCTCCTAATTTCTTGAAAGCCAAGGATGGTTTTTAGTATCCCTTAGAGATTAATAGCAACAAATAAAAAACCAAAAACTACATTGTCTGCATTGTCTTAGAATGTTCAAAGTTTTAGGTTTCACATTTAGATCTATATTGTATTTTGAGTTTTTTAAATTGACTCTTTGCAAATAGATATTCAAAGTTCCAAACCATTTGATGAAAAAACTATTCTTTCTCCACTGATTTGCCTTTGTATCTTGGTCAGAAATCAGTTGTCCATACACATACCTGTTTCTGGACTCCCTATTCTGTTTTACTGATCTATCTGCCTATCTTTTTACCAATGCCACCACATGACTTTATAATTAATCTTTAAATAAGGTTATGTTAGTCCTTCAGCTTTGTTCTTCTTTTTCAGTGTTGCTTTGGTGATATTAAGACCTTTGTATTTTCATATGACTTTTAGAATCAACCTGTCAATTTCTAACAAGAAAAAACATGAGATTTTCATTGGAATTGTGTTGAATCTATAGATAATTTGTGTAAAATTGGCATGTTAATAAATGTGGGTCTTTTGACCTATAGACATAGTATGTGTCTCCAGTATTCAGTCTTGGTTAATTTGATCTTCTTTGATTTCTCTCAGCAATGTTTTGCAGTTTTCAATGTATGGGTCTTACACACTCTATGATGCATTCCTAAATATTTCATGATTTTGATGCTATTATGAATAGTATTTTTAAATGTAAATGTTCAATTGTTCATTTGCTGGTAGTTACCTCAAATGCATGTGATGATTAGTCTCTATAGACTGTCATGTCTGTATTCTGAAGTCAGGAAGACCTCTAGATTTTGTCTGGGTTCCCTCCCCACTGCACAGTGGTCTGGGAACCCTCTAAAGGCAGAAAGTGCAGCAATTGTAGGTCACCTTCACTTGTTTCCTGTCTTTTGTTGCTTATGTTAGGTGTTCAAAACTATTGTTTCATATATTTTGTATAGTTTTGGTTGTTTTGGGTGGGAAGATAAATCCACTCCTTTTTACTACATCATGGCTGGAAGTGAATCTTCACCTTTTAAAAATACCCTGCTCATTTTCTTGTTTAACTTTTTATGATGAAATAGTTTGCATACATACAACAATGGGGAGAATACAATAATGAAACCCCATATAGCTGTCACTCAGATTCAATAATTATCAACACATTGAATCTGTTTTTCAACTGTTCTACTACCTCCCTCAGTCTGTATTTTTTTGGAACTATTCCAAATATCATATAATTTCATTTGAAAAAAATTCAGTATATATGTAAACTATAACGATTCCTTTTTAATTCCTTTACCTAAAAAAAGTAAAATAACTCCATAATTTAAAAAATTAATTATATAAAAGGGTTGAAATTTACTCAATTGAATAACAAGTGTGTGTTTATACATGTATATATTTTTTCAAATCAGGATCCAAATAAAGTCTACATATGGCAATTAGTTAATATGTCTCAGGTTTTTTGAACTCTACTTGTTCCCTCCTCTATATCTTATTTTTTTCCTTGCAATTTTTTTTATTGAAGAAAGTAAATGATTCATCCTGTGGGTTCCATAGTTTGGATTATATTGATTACATAATAATAAAGTTATTTAACATAATTTTTTTATAGCTTGAACTTTCCAAAAATTGGTAGTTAGATCTGAGGCTTGAGTTTTTGGCAAGAATACTTCATAGTTGATATCACATACTTCCAACGGGAGGTACATACTATCTAATTATTTTCTTTTTGTGATTTTAGCAGACATTAATGCTTCTGACCCAGATTAACTATTTCATTAGGAGTTTTAAATTTCTATTTCTATCATAACATCTTCACATACTAAGGGTAGTATTTCTACAACTATTTCATTACTCTCAGATTCAGTTTGTTTAAGAAAGATGGGGTTAATATTTTATTATTACCTTTTATATACTAGCTTTCAAATTAATGGGTTGATCTTCTAGCATTATCCAAAGGATTTTTTAGTGTCATTGTGGATGCATGATGTTAAACATTGTTGGCACATTTCCATCTTTGGCAACTTTTATTCTTACTGTGCTCTAATTGTCTCATCTTTGGCCATTGAGTGTCTCCTCAGGTTGGCTTCTGAATTCTTTTCGCTGTGACCCCAGTACTCTTTATTTCTTTTTGATATGATATGATATGATATATGATATGATATGATATTCCAAACTTATCTTGGAAAATTCTTGCTCCAAACCTGGACACATTCATTTTTCCAAAGAGCCCTTAAATATGGTAGTTAGAGACCTCAACCAGAGCACTCAGAATGGCCACCCAGGGATCCCCAGAATGATAATTTTTATGGTGTTAGTCACTGTTACTCAACCTTTTCAGAAGACAGACCTAGTCTTCTGACATTTCTTTTTAGAGAGGGAGAGAGAAGGATGGGGAAGGGGTAGAGGGAGAGAGAGAATCTTAAGCACACTTCATGCCTAGCACAGAGCCCTCACAACCCTCAGATCATGACCTGAATTGTAATCAAGAGTCAGATGCTTAGCCAACAGCCACCCAGGAGCCCCATCTTCTGACATTTCTAAATCAAGTTTGGAACTATGGGCTTTTTACTTAAGTTTGTTGATTGTATTTTTGTCTCTCCTTCCTCTAACTCAAAAGTCATGATTCTTTTTTTTTTTAGTTTTTTTTATAAGTTTATTTTTTATTGGTGTTCAATTTGCCAACATATAGAATAACACCTAGTGCTCATCCCATCCAGTGCCCCTCTCAGTGATTCTTAATGACAGCAACAAATTACTCATTTACTCTATCCCTTATATGCAGTAATCTCAGAATAGAAAGTCAAAATACCTGGGAGGAATATAATTCCTAAAAACAATTTGAGATTTTGTTGAAGTTTTTCTTTTTCTCTGTTTGTGGCATACCATTTGAAGTATATAAATTATACTCAAAAAAAAAAAAACAACTTATGTTTCAAAGTTACCCAAAATGGTTCTTCTTTGTATGGTTATGCCAGCAACTCGATAGGTTCATCTCATTCGTTTTTTAGATTTTTAGTGTTAGCTTTTCAAATTTATTTTTTATTAGTTTATGTAGATACTATACACAAATATATATTATTTAAAAATATATAAATTATATGAATTATATAAAATCTTATAAAATATCTACATGGTTCAAAAATTAAATCTGTAAGACAAGACATTCAGAAGAGTCTGGCTCCTATCCTTCTTTTCTCTACCTTGTGCAGTCTCTCTGTCTTTCTGATTTATTCTTACATTTAAAAGATGCAAAGAAATTATATATAATATCCATATCTATATAGTATATATGCAGAATTGCGTATGTATTTATCTTGCTGCTTAGGTAACAGGGGTATATGTGTTTAGCTCATATTTCCTAGTGTGTATGCTTTACATACTTTTATTTTTCATTGGAACATAGTTGACATACAATATTATATTAGTTTCAGATGTATTTACATACTTAACCATGCTTCCTAGAGATTCTTTCATAGTGGGATATATAAATATTTTTTACTCATTATTTTAGCTTTCTAGTACTCATGTATGGAGGAACCATTGTTTATTCAATCAGTTCTCTGTTAAGGATTTTATTCTATTTTTTTCAGTTTTTTACAGATAATGCTGTAATAAAGAGGCTTGTGTATATGTCTGTCTTTTCATATTTCCACCAGTCTATCTTTGATATAGATTTCAAGGAGTAAAATTGCTGAGTTAAAGAATAAATGTGTATATGTATTTTTGCTAGATAGATATTGCCAAATTTCTTTCCATGGAGATTATACCAGCTTGCATTTGTGCCAGAAATATGTGAGAGTGCCTGTTTCTTCACAGTGTTATAGACAGAATATGCTGGGAAACCTTTACATTTTTCTAATTAGCTAGGTGGGCAATGTTAGATGTAGCTCTCCCCCCAAAACCTTTTGTTAAAAATATTTTATTTATTTATTCATGGGAGACACAGAGAGAAGCAGAGAGAGAAACAGAGACAGGAGAAGCAGGCTCCATGCAAGGAGCCCGATGCAGGACTTGATCTCAGGGACCCCAGGATCACGCCCTGAGCCAAAGGCAGATGCTCAACCACGGAGTGACCCAGGCATCCTCTTTCTCCCCCTTTCTTTAAGGAAATAAAACTTACAGAAAAGGTGCAAGAATAGTTCAAATAACTTTTTCCCCCGAGCCTTTTGAGAGCAAGTTGCCAACATATGGCTCCATGACTCCTACATATTTTCGTGTATATTTCTTAAAGACAAGGACATTTTCCTACATAAAAGACAGGTAACCATTAATATCAGGAAGTTAATATTGACATATTAATAGCAAATGCTCAGACCCCATTCAAGTTTTGCCAGTGGTCTTAATAATAATGTTCTTTCTTTCCCTTCGTTCTTTCTTTCTTTCCTTCAAGATTTTATTTATTCATGAAAGACACAGAGAGAGGGGCAGAGACACAGGCAAAGGGAGAAGCAGACCCCCCGCAGAGAGCCTGATGCAGGACTCGATCCCAGGACCCTGGGATCATGACCTGAAACAAAGGCAGACACTCAACCGCTGAGCTACCCAGGTGCCCCTTAATAATGTTCTTTACAAGAAAGGATTTGGGATCACACAATACTATTGTTTGACACCTCTTTAATCTTCAAACTTTCCTTGACTTCGTGACCTTGACTCCTTTGACTCTGGTTATTTTATGGAATGCCTCTCATTTTGGATTTGTGTGATGTTTCCTCATAGTTAAATTCAGGTTATGCACTTTGGGCTACAATATCATAAATGTGATGCCATGTCCTCATTGCTTCTTCTCAGGTGGTACATAATTTAAATTTGTCCTATTACTGGTAATGTTAACTAGGATCAATTAATTAAATATTATCTGCCAGGTTTCTCCATTGTAAATTTACTCTTTTCTCCTTTGTAATTAACAGTTATTTTGTTAAGAGACACTTTGAGACTATGTAAATAAGCCATCCTCATTAAATTTACCCACTAGTTGTATCCATTTCTATTTCTTGGCTAAATTATTACTTTGATAGTTGCCAAATAGTGATTTTTCTACTTGTGTCTTTTCTCCTACATTAATTGTAATTTTACTGTAAGAAAAAGCTATCTTTTCTCCCCATTTATTTATCCATTTATTTATGTCATATGAACTCATGAATTCCTATTTTATTTTATGGATTATAGTTCATTTCCCATTATTTACTGTGATGCTCAAATCATTACAGATTTAGGCAATGAGAGCCCGTTAAGTTGGCTTTGATATTTTTTCTGTCTCCATCTTTTCTCGAGCACTTTTATACTTAATGTTGCAACTAAATGTTCTAGCTCATATGATACTTTTCTTGGCCCAGCCTTGTAACCAGCCATTTCCTTAAGGAACCCTGATTCTTTTTTAGGGGGAGGAATAGAATTTAGAAAACAAAATGTGGGCAATAAATATGCACATTATTATTGGGGTTTCGCTGCTCCCAGGCCCTCTTAGAATTAGTGAATGTATGCACAAAAAAAAAGACAAGCAAACATATTATATATGTATGTATTCTCACATACATATTCATTTACATCTATATTATTTCTCTATTTATCTACTGAAAACCCATCAGTTTACATTGTTGTCTCCAATTCTAATTCAATACCGCAGAGTTCAGTCTAGTTTTATTTCTGTCTATATTTGTAATTTGCTATCTTTGTGGGAAACCTGGCTCTCATTAGCCTCATTATATCTACTTATTCTATCAATCCCTGCTGAGTGTAGTCTGCCACCCATCATTACTGATATTCCCTCCCACTTCCATGTAGACACCTTTTTCACTCTGCTTGGACTCCAACATCCCACACCAGGCTACTGTCACCATGGGGGCCCTTCTTTCCCTCTTTGGGCTCTGACACCCTGCACCAGGCCATGTAAACACCTGTCTATCCCTGTTAGGCTCCAAAACCTGCAGCTGGCTGCCATGCACATCCCCACCACCAACCTTCTGCAAGGATGCCTCACTTGTTCAACCCCTATAGCTTTGGGACTCAGTGAGGAAGGAAAAAAAGTTTAGAAGAAAGTAGACAGGAAGGTAGGTAGGAAGGAAAGGATTTTAATTTTTTAATTATGAGTAAGAATGAGATTTTTTCAAATGTTTAACATGCTACTTGCATTGTGTGTGCGTGTGAGAACTGTTAACATCTCCAGCAATTTTACTATAGTCATTTGCTATACAACTCTTTTTTTAGGAGTTCTTTATGTATTAGGAATATTAATCTTTTGTCATATAATGTAAGTTTCAAATATGTTTTCTGAATTTGTCTTTAGTTTTTTTCCCCCTGCTTATTTATTTATTGTTTTGCCACACAAAGGTTTTTATTTTTTGCAGTTTATTACTTTTTTCTTATTGTTTCCAGATTTTGAATTGATGTTGAGGAACGGCTTCCATTTTGGAAATGCCCTGGTTGCTTTTTCATTGATTTCCAATTAAGGTAGATGTTGGGCTATGTGTTTATGGGATAAAAAATCTGACTTGACTCTGCCATCTCGCACTTTCAGCAGGAGTCCAAGAGCTGGAATCATGTTTCCTGGTACCTGGAGATTTATTAGTTTTGACGGGGAACAAAGTACAAATGCCATGCGATGCCATCCTGATTGACGGCAGCTGTGTGGTAGATGAAGGCATGCTGACAGGTAGGGTCCTGTCTCACAACTTACAGCCTCTGTGAGCTCTCCCAGGTTCCTCTGCTATCTGATGACAATGGCAAAGCATGGCAAAGCACAGGGGTTTTGTGGGACCTTCCCACTCTCACAAGTTTTCCTTAACTGTCCTGCTCTGGATGGTTCTGAGAGTTCAAATTAAAGCTGCTTTCCATGTGCTAGGTTTGATATAGTTATAACTTTCTGAGTGCTTAGCATTTTCTTCTTGAATCAAGAGTATTACAGCCCTGTCATTTTACCTTAAAAGATTGTGGAGATCATTAGACATTTCAGAATCATCTGTGACTTTTATGTTTAGTGTTTTCACATGAAATATATCTTCAGATAAACTTGGAGGATTTGAAACCTGTTGATGACATCCTGAAACCTAGGTCAAGTCCAAGCTCTTCCTGGCTTGGCTTGAACATGTTGAAAAGGTCATGACACAGGATTTGGCACATCTATTACTTTGAAAATACACATTGGGAATTTTGGACTACCTATATTTCATTTTTAAAAAAGTATGCTGAAGGGGCACCTGGGTAGCTCGGTCGGTTAAGCGTCTGCCTTCAGCTCAGGTCATGATCTTGGGGTCCTGGGATGGAGCCCTGGGTCAGGATCCCTGCTCAGCAAGGATCTTGCTTCTCCTTCTCCTTCTGCCCCCTGCTTGATTTGTTCAAGGTCACAGTGCTTTGAGTTCTCATGTGTACATTTGGAAATGTGATATCAGCATTTCTGTAAGATAAAGAAGAATCATAACGTCTTTTCCACAGATGGACTAGGGGGCGAGAAGACACAATGACATACAGTGGTTCCCACGAAAGCCCAAATTGAATCCATTTCTCCTGGGCAGACCAGGAAGGCATGAAATAGAGACAAGAACACATCTTTCTTCTGTTAACTTTACCAAAAAAAATTTTAAATGTGTGGCAGGCCAGGTTTCTTCCTATAAGGAGTACATAGGTTTGTAAAAATCTCTTAGTGCTGGGACTTCTGCAATGCTAAATACCATTTTCCTGGCAAAAGTGGCTATATATATATATATATATATATATATATATATATATATATATATCCCACTCTGTGAAGACCAGTGGAAGACTTTATAAGGTTTGTTTCTCAAAACAGGCCCTAATTATTTCCATAACTTCATTCACCACCTTGATTAGCACTTCAACCTGCTGCAACCTGTCCCTTCCACCACAATGACAAAATTCACCTCTTTCTCAATAGCCAAATTCAAAGGATTCCTCATATTTCTCTTCTTATTGACTTCTCTGCTGCTTTTAAGTATTCTGACCATCTCTTCCTCTGGAAAACTCTCTTCTTAACCTTCCAAGACAGCACTGTTTTTCCAAGTTCTTCTACCACTGTTCATGCCATCCCGTGTCCTGTGCTGCCCCTCTTCCTCCTTATCCTGGACTATTGGTGTTGCTCAGGGTTGGCTCCTAGTCCAATTCCCTTCAGTCCTCACACATGGTCCCTAAGTAATCTCATCTCTCCTTGGCTTTAATCATAGTCTGGTGAACTCTGACTAAATGTCTCTGGTCAAGGCCTCTCCCTTGAATGCCAGACCCAAATAAATAAACACAAGACATCTCAAAGAGCCATTCCACAAAGCATCTCCAACTTATGGTGACCATAAGACAATTCTTCCCTCCTCCCGTAATCCCTGTGTTGATGACTATTGCCACCCTCTGCTCATTTTCCCATGTCAGAAACCAGGATGCCATTTTGAATTTCTCTGTCCCTGTGACCTGCCAATAGAAAAATCTCCCCAAGTTTTGTAACTACTTTCCTCCTCATTTCTCAAATCCATTATTTCCTCTCTATTCCCACTGCCAACTGCCATAGCTCAGACCTCGTTCTCTCCAATGGAATGCCCAGCCTCCAGCCTCACCAAACTTCAATCCACTCCCTATATTGCAGACTCCTTTATACACAAATATGATACTGCACTCCTGAATAAAGCAGTGAATTATTTCCCCACCCCTTTCTGCCACTAATGCTTATAAAACCCATTTAAACCCTTAAATATGTGCACTTAGGCCCTCCAGGCTTTGGCTCCTACACAGCTCTCATGGCCACTTACTCCTCATGCTCCACATTCTGGACTGTACAACTTGCTATTCCCTACATAGCTATTTCTAGCCTTTTTAAGCACCCACATTTGATGTTACAAAACTTACAGTATTCATAATACAACATTATACTTATTTGTCTAGATTACAAATCTCCTAAAAACAAGAACCATATTTCTTTCTCCTTGTAGCCCTAAAACCTAGGGTTGTCCCTGCTACCATAGCAGGCTTAAAACAAATGTCTGTCACATGCTGAGTGAATGCATGCATGATTTAAATGAGTGAAGTTTCCTGACCTCACAAAATGAGATGTATATTTTCTATAGGAGAAAGTATTCCAGTGACTAAAACTCCATTACCCAAACTGGAGAGTGCTGAGCCCTGGAAAACACAGAGTGAAGCAGACTATAAACGACATGTCCTCTTCTGTGGGACAGAGGTTATCCAAGCCAAGGGAGGGTGCTCTGGGACCGTGAGAGCAGTGGTGCTGCAGACTGGTGAGTCAACATCTCTTCTTTTGTTTTGCTACTTTAAGGAAATATTTTTGTTCCATTTGTCTAGTGCCTTAAATTTATGAGGTAAGGAATAGTCTTTAGGTAATAAACCAACTGTATGTAAATTTATATATTTTAAGTGTGAATTGCACTATGGCGTATGCCTTTTAGTAAAACTAACACTGATGACAATTGTTTATGTGTTTTATAGTTTATGAACTATTGCCATATAGCAAACCAGCACAGCAAAGATGCTGGGCCTAGACCTTAGATCTTTTAACCCCAAATCCCAAGTTCCTTCTCGTCAGGGTTAGAAACTAAAAACTTTACACTGAAAAGTATTAGAAATTAAGTCCATTGGTATTTACTGGGCCATATGGTTTCAATTCAGTTAATGTGCACACGTGCTTGGATGTATGAAAGAATGTTCATGAGTTGTTTCCTTATAATGAAGTTATACTTGGAAATGCTGTATTCTGACCCTACTGTGGTGGTTTCCTTGCTCTGAGATGCATTGAAATTGAAAGTAGAGAGAACAAAGATCAGAGAGCAATAGGCTCTGAAATGGGTATGTTGAGATATTTCCGTTGCAGCGCTCAGGTATTTTCCCAATTATCCTTTAGTTGTCTTTGGCTTAAGCACTGCTTAAATATCTCTAGAGAAAAACAAAGGCCATGTTGAGGCTTAGAAGAGCGCTAGCAGGAGGATTTGTCATCCTGAGAATGTGGACTGTGTGTTTGTTACTTTAGGATTCAACACTGCAAAAGGGGACCTCGTGAGATCCATTCTCTACCCAAAGCCAATGAATTTTAAGCTCTACAGGGATGCCATCAGGTTCCTCCTGTGCCTTGTGGGGACAGCAACCATTGGGTTGATCTATACTTTGTGTGTCTATGTGCTCAGCGGGGTAAACTGTTTTTGTTCTTTTACTACATGTACACACACACTCATCTATGTATAATTTATATTCTGCATGTTAACCTTTATGTCAGGCATGGTTTACAATCTGGGAAACAAAGCCAAACACTGAAACCTGCACACATACTCGAAGTTCCCCAATATAAGTGATTGATTGCTAAGTAATATTCTAACAATCTGATCTAGAGAGACAAAACACTGTTCATTGAGCTATCAACATGCCTCTCGTCTTGAACACTCCCCCTTACAATAATTTTTCATTTTTAATCTGAGAATATTTTTATTCCAATAATGTAGTGTTTTGTAGTTATTAAATAAGGAGTTTAAGATAAAACCCAGATACCCAGTGTTGGTGAGGTCATGGTTCCCTGGTGGTAGTACTAGGAATCATTACAAACTTTCTCATTGCACTTTGGAAAATATATGAGAGCCGTACTCATACTTTTTGAACCACATATAATTTCTGGGAATTTGAACAAATAAGTAAAAAAAAAAATGGAAAAAGGAAAAAGCCATATGCACAATGGTGTTCAGGATTGATTTACCTGTAATAGCTGCAGAGTGACGTTGTGTTCCAGGAACCTCCTGAGGAGATAGTGAAGAAAGCCCTCGATGTCATCACAATTGCAGTTCCTCCTGCCCTGCCTGCTGCTCTGACTACGGGCATTATCTATGCCCAGAGGAGGCTGAAGAAGAGAGGCATCTTTTGCATCAGCCCCCAGAGGATCAATGTATGTGGACAGTTAAACCTTGTCTGCTTTGACAAGGTATGTGTGTTTCATCCTCCTTCTCATCGCCATTTTATCATCATTGTCATTGGGTGGAGGTGCTTCACACTCCCTTAGGGCAGGAAACAGGATGTGGCATCAGACTTCATTTTATCTCTGGTTAGGGTGTATGATCTAGGAAAGGCACGTTTCTTGAGCTCTGAGATTCTGGAGTTTAGAGGAGGGAGAGTACGTACTGAATAGGTGAATCTTTTACAATCTTTCCAGCTCCAATATTCTATCAAATACAACTAATTAAAATGGCACTCTGTCCCTCCCCAGTCAAAACTCCATACAAAGAACAAAACTTAACCCTTTACTGTAGTCACTGCTGTATCCCTAATATTAAGAATATTGCCAGGTATATAGTCAGTGCTCAATAAATATTGAATTAATGAATGCATAAAAAAAAGAAAAGTTTATTTAACTTGTGTTTTACTTAGGTAAACGGACTTGGTTATAGGAAAGCCCCAGTCAAATCCTCACCATATTTTCCCATCTGCAATGTATTGCTTAAAGTTATCCTTGATTATATGCCAGTTATTCCAAACCAGCCTCTTATTCTACCTTCTCTGGAGTATATTCTTTCGACCTACGCCTCTACTGGGGGGAAGTAGAGCAATGAGAAGGGAAGATGGAGAAGATGGGCTGCTTTGTGCCCAAGTCTTCACTTATAAATATGACTGATGACTGCAGAGAGGTCAATGCCTTTGAAAGAAGTTTAACATTATTCACATTTCTGGTAAGCAGAGGCACTGCTCACCTTGTGCGGCCACAGGAGGAATGCCAGGCTTTGACGAGGAAACAAAGCAAGAGTGAGGGGAATGCTCGGGCGTGGTCTCTATTGGGGTCTCTCCAAGGAAGGCAAGTCAGACCATAGCTTATGATTGGCTTGTTTGAATGATGTGGGTGAGCTTGTGACTGTAGGATGGTCTCTGGCACTTGGCCCTGGGATGAGGAAGGTGAACTATTGCCTCCCCGGAGAAGGGGTCCAGCAGAGGATTGGTTAGTTTGCATGTCAAATGCATGCTGAGATCCTGGTTACCTGTGTAAGAACTGGCTAGCTCCAGAGATGCAGTCTTTCCTTAGAAAGTTTTTCTAAGCTGTCAAATCATCATAACATAAAGAAAATTAATTCAGTTCAAGGGTATTAGAGGCAGGTAAATATGGGTACACAAATGGATACAGGAAAGCAATAAAGTTTGTGGTTTTGACCAGAGTAAGACATTAGTAATAGGAGACACCTTTAATGTCTGCCTAAGAATTTTTTATGTACCCTTTAGGCAGTGGGGAGCCTTTGAGGTGTTTTTGCTTTCTAAATTGTTGTTCCCTTTTTTTCTTAATTTATTTTTTATTGTGGCAAAATATATATTAACCACTTTAACCATTTGTAAGCAGCTTTAAGTGCATTTGCATTGTTGTGCAATCATCACCACCATTCATTCATCTTGAGAATTTTTCCATCTTCCCAACCTAAAACCTATGCCCATTGAATAGTACATTAAGGTTTTTGATGGCAGAATGAAGGAGATCAGAGAAGTGTTATATAAGTACTGGGAGATCAGAGAGATCTACCAAGGTCAGAAGGTTAACATGGCTCTTGGCAACAATTCCGTATTATTTTGTCAGCAAACCAGCATAACAAAGAAGGATGTTCTATTTGCGGGGTCATCTCTTCCTTGGGCCTGGCAAAAGAAGCAGGTGTGAGAAAGACAATTATAACATGAATTTGGATAAAATAAGTAATAAATAATTATGAGCAATTATCATTACAATTTAGTCATACTCTATATGTCAGACATTAAGTTAAGCGCTTTATTTGTATTACCTTATTTGATATTCACAACCTTATCTGATTATAAGCATGTTATAAATAAGGGCTCTATGTTCAAAGGGATTAAATAATTTGCCCAGGTCATAGAGCTGGTGTTTTTGTTGTTGTTGTTTTAAGATTTTATTTATTTATTTGACAGAGAGAGAGAGTGTGAGCACAAGCAGGGGGAGTGGCAGGAAGAAGGAGAGGGAGAAGCAGGCTCCCCGCTGAGCAGGGAACAGATGCAGGACTTGATCTCAGAACCCTGGGATCATGACCTGAGTCAAAGACAGACAACTGACTGAGCCACTGAAGTGCCCCAATATAGCTGATGTTTTAAATGAGCCCAAGCTCCAGGAAAACTTACTTCATTATCCTGCACTGAGAGAAATACCAACAAGCAACTTTTTTTAGGTGTCAAATAGCAAACCATCTGTTTAGAGTAGGGAAAAATTCACTCATTACTTACTTCTGATGACATGCTTTTATCTTCTGCATAAAAACTGGAGCTCACTCATTTTATAGCTCCTACAGATTTACTGAGGCTTTCCTATCCATTCAGTCTACCATTAGATCCTTAAAACCAGGTTCTGGAGTGTGTGAGGCAAATACTGTTTTCTTCTTTTTATTGCCAGCTTGGCCAGACAACTGGTATAAGCTCTTCAGAGCTTCTGTCCAGGACCCCAGATACCCACCTCACTGTGTTCTTCCTTGAAGTATTGATCTCAGCAACGTGTTCGTGACATATTTCCCTGTTAAAACGTACCTTATGGGTTGTCATCACGGGGCTGCCCAATCTTTGGAGTAAACCAAGTGCTTGTTTCTGTTTAGACAGGCACCTTAACAAGGGATGGTTTGGATCTCTGGGGAGTCGTGCCCTGCGATAGGAGTGGGTGAGTACCCTGAACTGAATGCTTTGGTGTTTCTCTTTTCCCAGAAACAATACTCCACATTTTCCTCTGTAAATTAATAACGAAGACATTTTGGCTTTGGCCTTGGAGCAGTGGTTAACACAGTATCTTTATGTAATGTCTTTTTTTGAACACTTCCCAGTCTTACTAAAACATGCATTATCTCCCTTCACCCTAGCTCCCTGCCATGTGCTACTTAGGAGATGGAGGGGTTTCAAGTCCTTGCTAAAATGTAATTTGCAATAAATGAATGAATGAATGAATAAATAAATGAATGTAATTTCCTGTCAGCATATTAGTCAGGGGCTTGAAGTTGACCCAGTGTACCTAGTGTGGAGAATACTAGGACACTGTCCCTCTGGGAGGTCACATTGCCTGTACAAACAGAAGCGTTGCAGCGCGCCAGGAGGAAGCACTACACGGACTTGTGTACACTGAATTGCAGGAAGACGAACACCTGTGGAACCGTAGCTAATGCACTTATTTTCCTTGGTATCCGAGTTCTGGAAACCCCACCTTTTGGTTGCCAGAAACTCTTTCTGCCTGGCCAGAAAAGATTCCTCTTTGGCAATTTTCAGCTCAGGGTGGTAGGATTTTTCAGGGCCCTCTTGTGGCCATGTCTGACTCTGCAGCCCTGTCTGCTTCTGACCACTGTCTCCACTTGTGATCAGAACACGAAACACTTGACATTTACATTTTGAGTTATTCAGTGAAAATGTTTCCCTCTCCCACTTACAGATTCCACCACAAAAACATCTAATACATAAAAGGCACATGGTGGTTCTTCTGCGTTATGCAGATGACAATAAATTATCCATAAAAGATTTGTAATTATAGGTGTTTAATACACTTTCATATTAAAATATGATTCATAAACAAAAGTCTATTTCCTGAGTTAAAAAAAAAATCTTAGTGATTCTTGCCACTTTAGTCCACAGAAGAAACCTCTTATAACTATTAAACGTTCTGAAGTTCTTTTCATTTTCTCTCAAAGATAGATTTAGATATATACCTGGTCTTCCTGTTCACTAGTATGTTTCTGCTTCAGCTTCTACAAAAAATGTATATATTTATTCAAATATGTGAGCATCCTGAGAGCAGTCTGTTTCTTACTTAAATTTGTGTTCCTAGTGTGGTAGCATTATACCAGGCACACATAGTACATGCACAGCAAATGTTTGTTTAATTTAAATGAACTTAACTATGTTCCATCTTTTGAATGCTTTTCTACCTATTGAATTGCCATCATCTTATTCACAAAACTTTCTAAGAGTAGTGTATCAAATTTAAATAAAAACAACTAATATAATGTTTAAGTTGTTGATTGATTAATTAGGACTGCCACTTTTTCTTCCTTCTTTCTTTTCTTCCCTCAAAAAGGTCAAAGTTGGCTTTAAAGGACTAAAAAGGAAATTTAAAAATTGAAAAAAGATTGATAAATTTAATTAATAACATCAAACAAAACGTACTCAATACTAGATAAGAAGTAAGCATCTGACCTATTCACTATAAGTACCTTGTTGTAAAAGATAAGCTTATCTTTAATAATTCTTACCTTTTCCAAAAAGGCCAATGTGCCAGATACTTCAAGAACCATCAGAGGCTCTTTAGGTTACTTGAGAGGGATCAACCAGAAACATTCAAATGAAAATACAAGGACAAGGATGAAAGCAACAGTTTTATTTATTTGTTGTGCAAGCCAGAGGTTGGTCCAATCCTCAGGAACTCAAGAATTACATAGTGATGGGAGTGTGTGTGCCACCTTAAAAATAACATTTGTCCTCCTTGATCTGTGTTTACTTTTTAGTGTGAGTTCAAGCTTCTGTGTTAATCTCTCTGCTGGTGATTGCTTAATGTTTACTGAAATATTAGGGGGTATGTTGAAAACCACTAAGACAACTTGAACTTTTGATATATAAAAATAGATACGATCAACAGGATCAGTAATCAGCGAAGAGGTTTTTGAACTTCTAGGGAAGCTTGAATGAGGAAGCCAGGAAGAAATATGGCTGCATTATGAATTCACACTGTGATGCGGATGCTTTCAGGAATAAAAGGCTAGAGGACATAATTAAAGAATCGAAATGTCCATATCATGAGAAATAATCATCTGATCCCAGACACCGCATATGAAGACAAACTATGACAAAAACTTTTCCAAAAATAGTTATTAGGATGGTGAGAAGTCTGGAAACTGCACGTTGTCAGCACAGCTAGCGGTTCCTGTGTAATCCCAGAGGAAGAAAAGATAATGAGGATGTGCTTCAAACTAAGGGTGATACTTCTAGTTTTTCCCACGCCTTTGGAATTAAATCAGTTCCAGAAAGAGAGTAAGGAAGAGAGAGAGAGTTTGTAAGAACTTCAAAGACCTTTCTCATACTTGCTAAACTTCTAGAAGGATGATGGCTAAATGAAGCAATTTGGGAAGATTAGAGAATGGGTACTAATGTAACAAACCATGCTAAATTAATTTTTAAATAGATATTTACTTCCAGAAGCTCCATCTTGGCATGGAGGAAGAGCACTGAAGCCCCTTTTCTTTTCTCCTTTAGCTTTCAGGAAGTCCACAGCTTTGCCTCAGGGAGGTCTTTGCCGTGGGGCCCTCTGTGTGCGGCCATGGCCAGCTGCCACTCTCTGATCCTTCTCGATGGGACCATCCAGGGAGATCCTCTGGATCTCAAGATGTTTGAAGCCACCACCTGGGTAATACCATGCTCTTCAAAGAACCTAAGGAACTTCTCCAATGCCAGAACAACCCAGATTTCATAGTTATTCAATACTTACAAACGTGAGGTTTACAATATAGAGTTACATGTAGTAGAGACAGGGAAACTAATCTAAGTCTGTTTTCCTCATCTGTATGATGCAATTGGTAGTAGTATCTCCACTGTAGGATTATTGTAAGCTTTAAATGGAATGATGCATTTAAAAAATCCCTGGTAATGTGCCTGGCATATTACAGGTTAGTAGCATTAATATAATTATGATTATTATATATTTTCCATATCTTGAGACAATATAATTATTGTATAATTATTTTCCAACTCTTGAGCAATGTCTGGTTTTAAAGTTTTCTAGAACACGGGGATTTGGAAACAGCACTGGCTCCCATGTTTAGGATAACTCATTGTTACCAAAAGTTTTATTCCTATTCATTGAATATTGATTTTGTTTCTAAGGCTAGAAACAATAGAAAGGGAAACCATGAAAGAACTTTTGTTGAGACTTTGAAGTAGGCTTAAGAAGAAATGGTATATGTCGTTTCTAATGGCTGAGTAATATTCCATTGTATACATATACCACATCTTCTTTATCCATTCATCTTTCGATATTACTCAGCCATTAGAAACGACAAATACCCACCATTTGTTTCGACATGGATGGAACTGGAGGGTATTATGCTGAGTGAAGTAAGTCAATCGGAGAAGGACAAACATTATATGGTCTCATTCATTTGAGGAATATAAAAAATAGTGAAAGGGAATAAAGAGAAAAGGAGAAAAAATGAGTGAGAAATATCAGAAAGGGAGACAGAACATGAGAGACTCCTAACTCTGGGAAATGAACTAGGGGTGGTAGAAAGGGAGGTGGGTGGGGGTTGGGGGTGACTGGGTGACGGGCACTGAGGGGAGCACTTGATGGGATGAGCACTGGGTGTTATTCTATATGTTGGCAAATTGAACACCAATAATAAATAAATAAATATATATTTATATATTTTATATATAAATATATTTATATATATTATATATTATATATATAGTACAAATGGTATAGTTCAGGACCAGCAGGCTGGCTTCCTGGTTCTAGTTTTGGCTCTATTTTGATGCTTTGACAAGTCATCCCTCTTGTTGGGGCTTTGGCTTTTGTGACCTTAAAATGACAGGACTGAATTATATCAGTCAGCAGCGTTCCTATAAAACAAACAAAACAAAACTAACCAAACTGGAATCTTATCTTAAAAGCAAAACTTATTCAGAAGCATTCTATAAAAAAACAACAGTTGGAGTTGCTGTGGCTGAGATAGAAGATGGGGAGCATCACATGAGGTTCAGGGAAGTACCCTCCACATACTTAGCCACAAGCCCACCTCCACCCCCTGCATCCTGGCACAGCTCTAGGCCCCTGTGATACATGTGTTCTCCCCACCGAAGGACACAATCTCTGGAGTCCCTTCCAGCTCTAGTACGGCGTGCTTCTGTAACTATCTGATATAACTTTGCTGGTCTCTCATTCTTTCTGGGTTACTGTTTCTGTATCTTTAAGTAGGAATGACAATTTCCTTTCTGAGATTTTTTTCAACTGTTGGATGATATGATTACAAAGCATTTTGACATCTTCGGGGAAAAGGTTCCTTCGACTATGATTTAGGGTTATTATTTCAGCAATTACTGAGTGTTTACTTAACACTAGCCATGCACATCACAGTCCCTGCCCTGCCTGGCCCTGAGGACTATGGATTCAAATTAGACAGAAAGGGCAGGGCAGGGCAGGAGCAGCATCAGACTCCAGGGAAACAAAGACAGTATGGTGCTTGCCTCACACACAAGTCTGGCTCTTCATGCTCACTATTTTCAAGTTAAGCTCTTCAGAAGTGGAGAATGAACCTTTATGCAGCACATTCCAACGGAGAAAGCAGGATAAATTGCATGAATAATTCAGAAGTATCTGCCCTTCAAGTTCTGCTGCATTTCCAATGCACTTTTTTCCCCCTGTGGTGAATTAACTCTGGTTCACCTCCATCTAGCTGAGGGAGGAGACACCAAGCATACATTGAGGTGGTCTGAGGATTTTCTCAAGGAGTGAGTTTGAACCTAGTATTAGTGGATGAACAAGAAATAAATCTCTACAATGAAATATCCCATTTGTGAAATAGGAGATGGCTATTTCTGAGGATGATTTCCACATCAAGGGAGTGCCAGCACATGCCATGGTAGTTAAGCCCTGCGAAACAGCCAGCCAGGTAAGCCTTTCCTGCTATCTGTCCCACAATGCCCAAACTCAAAGGGAAAATCTCATCAGGCCTAGAATTTTGAAAGGACACAGATGTGGGTTCTTTGAAATCTATATGTGAAAATTGCTAAGAGCTTGCTTCCTGTGTTTGTGAAAATAAGGATTGAAGGATGACTAGTTAATTCCTGATAGCTAGGAGCTATGTGGGTATGTCCTACTCCATTCCTTATCCCTCAACCAGGTCCCAGTTGAAGGAATAGCAATCCTGCATCAGTTCCCATTCTCATCAGCACTGCAGAGGATGACAGTCATTGCCCAAGAGATAGGGGGTGACCGGCTGGCATTCATGAAAGGTGCACCAGAAAGGGTGGCCAGCTTTTGCCAACCTGAGACAGGTAAGTGAATAGACTTATAGTACAACTGACAAATCTGTATTTCCAGCCCGAATATGTCCTGTCAGCACTAGATCTATGAATCTAATTGCCTACTGATCATTGCTAATGTGGTGACTCAACTGGCATCCCAAACTCAATACTTCTCTTTCTAACTTCCTGTATCTTCCATTTTGGAGAATAGTACTACCAAGTTACACTACTACCCCCAATTTAGGATTTGTCCCCTGATTCCTCCCTCTCTTTCAGAGCCTTTGTTTTATCAATTGCTAACCCATGGCTCTGTCACTCCATCAACTCAGGCCCTAACATCCCTCCACCAGATCACTTTAATATTTGACAAAACAGCCCCCTGTCCCCAAGTCCTTATTCTGATTCACCCTTCATACTGTGACCAGATTGGTTTTTCCACCACATAGCATAACCATATTGTCACTTTCTTGCTTTTTTTTGTTCAGTTGCTTCCCACAGGTTTCAGGATAGTCTCAAACTCCTTTAGGATTATATATAGGTCCTTCATGATCTGACTCCTATCACACTTTCCAGATATGCCTTACCACTCCTATCATCACTTGTGCTTCTCCTGAGCTGAACTCACTACTGAAGTCTTCCTTGTCTCATGTCTTTATGTCTGAGCATATGATGCTCCCTTGGCCAAAATGCCTTTCCCCTTCCTTCATCTACCCACTTTCTACCAAAGGGCTTGGTTTAAGCTCTTTGAAGTGTTTCCATAGCACATTGCAATTGTTTGGATCTCATTGCAATGCCAATCATCTCATTCTCCTGGCTGTTGCCCTACTAGACAGAGATTTCTAGATCAGGGCCTGCGGCTTAGTCTCTGCAGATACAACATCTGACACATACATGGTAAGTAGACTCTCAATAAATGTTTGTTGGTTAAGCTAGAGAAAAAAGAATTACATGTATCTATCTATCTATCTATCTATCTATCTATCTTTCTTTCTTTCCTTTATTCTCATTTCAACTTCATTGGATCCCAAAAGATCAACCCTGATGATATAATTATGTTTAGGATTCCCATTGATTTATTCATGTATCTTTTTAGAAGTATGTTTTCTTGGAAGAGAGTTGGATCTATTTGGGTTTGTTTGTTTGTTTGTTTGTTTGTTTTTTAGTTGGATATATTTGTAAAGAATTTCTCTACAGTACTGGCTGAGTAAATGTTGCATACTAATCTTGCATTATTTTCTGAACAGTACCAACTAGTTTTGCTAGCGAACTTCAGATTTACACAACACAGGGCTTCCGAGTCATAGCACTGGCATATAAGAAGCTGGAAATGGATCACCACACCACCTCCTTGACAAGGTAAGTGGGGAGAATTTGATAAGGCAAATTGGTTTGCTGGACAGTGGACTGGGCAGTGGGCTGAGCAACATAGCTTGCTAGAACTATGTGCATAAAGTGTTTCTGAACTTGATAAAGAAGGATATGGTCATCCCTGTCCTGCCTCAATCACAAAGCCCATGTGAACACTGGGAGAATTTATGAGAAATAGCTGTATAAACTATAAAGTGCAATGTAATTATACAGCTTTGTGAAAATAGTTATATGAATATAACCCATGTTTCAGAGAATTTGAAATTGTGAGTTATGCCCCTAGTTTGAACCAAATATAAGTAGCTAATTTTTATTAGAGTTAGCAGACTGGTTAAGAGTTAGAAAACAACATTTATCTGAAAAAAGTTTTTAATAAGTACTCAATGAAACAAATAGAGCTTAGATTTAACACATAATCCAGACAATGTTTGTAGGAAAACAAGAAAAGCTTCAGAGGATCCATTCTAGAGAAAGTTTTTATATGTAAAAGGGGTGTTTGAAAGCTAAAATGGACTGGGGTATTTATTAGTTCAAATTTTTTGTTTTATTTTCCACAGTTTAGAGATTACTGTGTTTTTTCGCCTTCACTGCCATGTCCAATACTCTGTGTCAGCTTCTATGGGTAGCACTGCTGTGGAGATAATCAAGCCTTATTTTGTTATTTTGGATTTTAAATTTGATATAAACTTAGGTTTAATATAGTTGTGTTCAACCCTGTCAGATTCAATGTTCTCTTACTAAAATTACATTTTGTACTGCTTCCTTTAAGATAAAACTCATAGGTCATATGATCTGCATATATTCTATGTAAAAAAATAAATATAATGCCCTCTAATATAGTAAAAATAGAAACAAACATACAATTCATGTCAAAAAGTAATAATTCAATGTTTACTTAGCTGATTCCACTAAATCAAACTGAAGCAATATGTTGCTTGCACCTGTGTGTAGAATCACAGAGGGGTGGGGGGTAGGCTGCAACAGCTAGGAATGTAGACTGATACAGGTGTGTTTACATATTGAAGTCTCAAGTACCACCAGCAGTCATGCTCAGTGAGATGACTCTGAAATGGTTATAAACTCTTGGTAAAACTGAATAAAACAGCACAATCTCTTTTGAATTTACATGGTAGTTAAGTTCCTGAAAAATTCAACAGAATATCAAGGACATGCGAAAATACTTTGTGTTTGTATATAAAACACAGCAGAGGGGATCCCTGGGTGGCGCAGCGGTTTGGCGCCTGCCTTTGGCCCGGGGCGTGATCCTGGAGACCCAGGATCAAATCCCACGTCGGGCTCCTGGTGCATGGAGCCTGCTTCTCCCTCTGCCTGTGTCTCTGCCTCTCTCTCTCTCTCTCTCTCTCTCTCTGTGTGTGACTATCATAAATAAATAAAAATTAAAAAAAAATAAAACACAGCAGAGGGAAATATAAAAGTTTATATTTGCTTAACATAGTATTAGATATATTATAGTACAGTATCCTATACAGTATATAATAGTACAGTATGAACAGTATAAGCCTATACTGGCTTAGGAAAGTACAAATGATTTTTTTAATGTCCATGAATAATCTGTAAAATATTCAAAAGGCATGTAGGGTGCAGGGGAATTCTTCATTGTGCATTGGTTCATTGCAGAAAACCTCACATAGATCCCTAGAAAGTTTCCAAATATCCTAGAGGCAGTACCATTCCTGCTGGGTGAGAACCACCAATATGCCCTAACTCTGTCACTTTGTGAAGGGCCAGTGGGGCCCAAAGAGGGAAGTGGCTCATCAAAAATCACTGAGTATTGGATTCCTGTGGCCAGCTTAGACTGACCCTCAAATCTTTGGCTATTACAACTCTGGGTATTTGTTGTAATTTAATCAGTGCAGGCCATTCAAGCTGCTCAAGTCAGAAGGCTAAAAGTGAACTTTGAGATTGGATCTTACATTTTCAAGAAAAAAAAAAAAAAAGAAAAACTTGGGTCTAGGATATGGCCGAACTGGGAATGGAATTTTATTTCCTGAGAACTCATTGGCAGATATATATCTAGACTCTGGCTACTGTGCTGCTGCTTCTGATTATTATAATAATATATTTACCTATCTACAAGTCTCAAAATCATGGCTTTGACGCTGGTGCAGATAACAAAGCACTAATGGGGAAGGCACGTAAGGAATGGCACAATAGGGGATGGCAAGGGCTGTGGCATGCAGGAGGGTACACGCCCTGGGTAACAGCATTGAAATTCCAACTTCTCAAAGTCTGGTAAGATCTAAACACTTGTAGGATCTAATAGGATCTAATCTTAGGTTGTCAGTTTGTGCTAAAGCCACGTCACCACTACATCTACTCCTAACTAAGCTAATTTACCTGAACTTTGGTAATCTCTAATCAGAACAGAACATTCTTTCTTTCTAGGGGGTATGTGTGTGCATGCTTGTGCATATGTGTGTGTTTACTCAGAGTGCTTCCAACACTGATATCATTTCTCTGAGTGTTTTTGGCCCACATTTTGCATATTTCATCCTTTAAAGATTACATGGATTTTAGGAACATGAAGGGTTATCTCGTGGTTGACAATGCTCCCTTTGTATTACATTCCCCATTCTTTATTATTTTTGGATGTTTCAGAAGCAGGTATAATGTTTGTGTTAGATGCAGGAAAAGATAGCTCACTATTCCAAGTTGCAGAGCTTGAGATCCCTCAAGAGACCACTTCTCTTTACTTCTTGGTTCCCATTGAAACTCATGAAAAGAAGAATCATGTAGTGCTAGAGCTAGACGAGATCACAGAGATCCATTAGTTTTACCACCTTCTTTTACAAAAGAAGAAATAGATTACCAGACAGAGAGAGTGATTTGCCCATGGTCACAAAGCAAGGTAGTGGAAGGTCTGGGATTAGGAGTATAGTCTCTGGATTATTATGTATTGAACCCTATGAACACCATGTGCCAGAGGAACCAGAAATATGAGTGCCAAGGTAGACTGAGGACTATGTCAGATGGTAGACCATGTGGCCATTTTCTTGACCCAGTCTGGTAACCTTATGATTGGCTTATGTCATATCATCTCTGAAAATATCTAAAGCCTCAATCAGGAATCACCTAAATTATCCTTCAAAGAATAGCTCAAATATCCCCTGTTCCAGGGAAGTTTCTCCAATCAGTCCACGCAAAAAAATGATTACATCTTCCTCTCCGATTCTCAGGGCTCTGATTCCATAGGACCATTATTTGTGCATGATGATGCTTTTCCCAGCCTTCTGTACTAAAGTGGTCAAGTCCAATGTCTTCCTGGTTAAACATGAAATCTCTAGAGTTAGGGGCCACTGTCGTTTCTGCATATTCTCTCCCCTTAGTCTTATTCCTTGCCCTTATTTAGGTATTTGTACTGGCTTTGCTTTCCATGAGAACCCTCTGGCAGTAGAATTTCGGAGAGAAGAAATAAATTTTCCTAGGCTGCCTGTTAAAAAAATGGTCACACCAGAAACCAGAGGATTTCAACTAAGGGTACCCTAGCCAAGTACTTCCTCTGTGTTGGGCACCACATGAATGTTGAGACTGTTGCTGACCCAAGTAGGCTTGCTCTCAAGTTCTTGAGAGTGATCAGATAGCAAAGAATGGTGAGTGATAAAGGAACAAATAAAATGAATGCTACATTAAGGTACAGGTAAGATGCTAAGGGAGCAATTATTTCTACCTGGGGAGGTTTTGATGGGGAGGTACATGTGAACTGGCCCTCAAAATATAAATGGGAAAGGTTTCAATGGCAGATCATGGGGAACTTACAACATTTTCCACGAAATAAGAAAGAATGCCTTATGGCAATCCAGAGCAAATGTTTCGAGATGGTTGAATAGAGAGCATAGCCATGGTGTCTGGTTCACCTGGTCTGGAGGTTAGTGTGGGTGAAGAATTTAGTGATAGGGAAAGCCTGGAAGATATTCTGGAACCGGGTTATGCAGAGACTTACTGCCAGTTTCAAAATAATGGGAAATGCCTGGGGTGAGTAGTGCAAACTATGCCCACTTCCTTCTGGCCACTCTGGTGGAGGTGTTAGCAGTGTCCTAGCAGCATGACTAACTGTAGTCCATGCCCCTGGTTAACATGAGGCTCAGCATTGAGATGTCCATGACAAGCAAGGCAAGGTGTTTTTCTACGTGTTGCTTTCATCCATATTTCAGTCAGAATTAGGCAATGCTGATGTTTTGCTCTTGTGTCTGCTAGAGGAGTCTGGGTCTCAGATAAATGAATCATGGAAGAATTTTTGCCCCAGCCCCACCCTAAATATACTTCCCTGCACTTAGTCCTATGGAATGTCTTGGAAATGTTCTTGTAGTGGATGGAAACCTCAGAGGCTCCACTTCCTTGCAGAAATATTCACACTTTATGCCGAAGAACAATGCTGCCTGTAGAGGGAGGAAGTGAAAGGAAGAGCTTGGCTAGAACTCCTCTCTGGTAGTTGCTAACAGGGGAAGAGCTAGAAATCAGACTAACTACAGTAGAAAAACTTTGGGTCATTTAACTCATTCTCCATGGAAATTAAGGCAAATCTTTCGCTTAACAAATACTGTCTCTCTCAATTGATTCAGTCAGGATAAACGTCTCAGTATCCTTCACGTCCACTCCTGTTTTCTTTCTGGATATTTCCCAGCATGTATTCAATGGTTAAGGAATGATACTTAAGTGGATGGGTGAGAACCACTTTGATAGGAACATATTTGCCTTTGTTTTTGTTTTGCTTTCCCTAAGAAAGGCCATAATGTGCTATTTATGTTCAATTATATACCTATACATTTCCAGGGACAAAGTAGAATCAGATCTGATATTTCTGGGATTGCTAATCTTGGAGAATCGGTTGAAGGACGAGACAAAGCCTGTTCTGGAAGAGCTCATCTCAGCCCGGATAAGGACTGTAATGGTCACAGGTATAGAACAAAGTGTACGTGAAAACAAAGCATTTGATGTGGGAATAATCAAGATTCATTCATTTCCCAAAGATTGTTGACTACCTACTGTGGGTTGGACGCCATTGGAGATTGGCAACAGAAAAAGCAAAGTTACTGCTCTTGACCAAGTTTCTATTCAGGTGGGATGAGATAGAAAATCAATCAATCAATCAATCAATCAATCAATCAAATAACAGCTAGTAACAAGGATTATGAGGTACATGAAACAAAACAGGATAATGTGGTTAAAGCATGTCTGGCTGGCTAATTTATATGTGGTGTCCTCTCTCAGAGGGGCCATTTGAGATAAAATCTACATTATAAGAAGATATGAGCCACCCAGAGACGATGATTTTTGCTGTTGAATGTTAGAGGAAGAGAAATGTTTAGCAGGTGTGGTCTGCGAACTACACTGAAGGCCCATCAATAATGAGACCTCTTAGCTCTCAGGGCTCTAACCTCAGGGTAGGGAAGCCCCTGCCCACCAGTTAGCTCTTCTGGGGATTCTCCTAAGTACTTTGGTAGAAACCTGAAGAAAACCATGTTAGGGATAGTAAGCCGGTGTTATTTATTGTTTAGTGTTCGCTCTAGGAATCACAACATCTGTACATATCATTTCAAGAAGCCTTATGACCATAAACATCCTCTGCATTTTCTCCTTTATATTATAGTTGTCACAAATATGACACGAAAAACCCCACAAGACCATCTTAAAGTTTTTACTTTCAATAAGCAAGAGTTACAAACAAATGAAGAAAAATAGACTTTTATATTTACCTAGATCTTTATTAGTTGTGTTGCTATGTTTTTATTTCTCATGTTACAAGTTTCCCTCTGGTGTCATTTCCTTCCAGCCTAAAAAACCTGTAGGATTTCTTTTTGAGTATATCTGCTAGCAACCAATTATCTTAGTTTCTCTTCCTCTAAGAATGTATTTATTTCTCCTTCACTTCTGAAAGATACTTTCACTAGCTATAGGAGTGTGAGTTGATAGTTCTTTCTTCAGCACTTCAAGGATATTCCACTGTCATCTTGCCTGCACGGTTTTTGATGAGAAATCTGTGATAATGTGAATAATCATTCCTTAATATATAATGTATTTTTTCTCTAGCTGCTTTTAAGATATTTTCTTTATCTTTGTTCTTAGAAATTTGATTATAATAGTCCTCAGTATGGTCTCACTGAGTTTATCTTGTCTGGGATTCACTGAACTTCTTAAATCTATACATTTAAATCTTTTACCATATTTGGAGACTTTTCTGCTTTATTTCTTCAAAATATTTTTTCCTGTTCTCATTCCTGTCTCCTCTCCTTCCTGGATTCTAATGACATGAATGCTGTTATTCTTTCATCTCTGTTCTTTTGTTTTTAAATTATTCTCTCTATTGTTCAGATGGTATAAATTCTATTGATCTATTTTCAAATTCACTGACTTTTTCTCCTGTCATCTCCATTCTGCTTTTTGAGAGCATCCAGTGAATTTTTTATTTCAGTTATGTTATACTGTTCAATTCTGAAGTAGTAGTTTTGTTCTTATTTATAAAGTATATTTTTTTCTCTTGAGAACTTCTATCTTCTCATTTATTTTAAGAGTGTTAACCTTCATCTCATGGAGGAGGCTTATAAGAATTGCTTTAAAAACATTGTCTGGTAAGTCCAACATCTGAATCATACTTGGACTAGCAACCGTTGATTGTTGTTGTTGTTGTTTTTCCTTGAGAATTGACCACATTTTCCAGGGGTTTTTTTTTGTATGTTTAATAGCCTGAACATTTAAAATATTATATTGCAAGACTTTGAATCCTGTTATAATCATGTGGAGAATGTTGAGGTTTTATTATTTTAATAAGCAAAACCCTAAGACATGAGAGGCAATTAATATTCTAGTTCAGTTCTTGAGGTTTCTACTCTTCTTCTCTGGGTTTATTCTGCATGTACACAACTCTAAGTTGAGTTCATATACTATTAGTTTTGTTATGTTGTCCTCTCCTTTTCAGGGTCTGTCCCATAATTCTTCAGGCCTTTTTTTTCTGGTTTCTCTGGCCAGAAAGACTAATTTTCTCTTGGAGTTTTTGCTTCCTTTAGATCTCTGGGACTGGGGTTCACACTCAGGTCAAACATGTGAGAGGAAAGAGGAAAGAAAAGCCAAGAATATCATCATATTGTAGATTGTTTCTCCAGATTTGACTCCCTTCCACATTCTGCCTGCTTCTGTTTACTTTTCAAAATCCTTGGAGAGTTGCTTTTTTATTTTTCCCATAGTTTTACATTGTAATCAGTAGGAGATAGATTTTAGTGGTCTTATTCCAGTTTGGCTGAAAGTGGAACCACCTGATACTATATTAAATCAGTGGGGTTTTGCTAAATGTTTACCAAGCTAACAAATGGTGGCAATAGATTTGAATTTTGCCTTTTTATTTTTTCCTCTCACTCTCTGGAAAAAAAAATATATATATATATATTTGGTGGTTTTGAAGTAACCAGATGAAGAACAAGAATCACAAAAGGGATCATAAATCCATGGAGAATCAGAGTGAGAAAGACTTAGAAATTATTTCATTTCACACCTAAAATTACTTCTGAACTCCTTAACCTAGTGCTCTAGGCCCTACATGAATTGGTTCTATTTCTTCAACCTCATCTTACTATCTTCCTCCTTTCTTATAGGTGACAATCTTCAAACTGCAATAACAGTGGCCAGAAAGTCTGGAATGGTTTCTGAAAGCCAAAAAGTCATTCTCATTGAAGCGAATGAAACCACTGGATCCTCATCAGCATCTATATCTTGGAAATTAGTAGAAAATAAGAAACACATTTCATACAGCAACCAGGTATACCTAACAATAGATGTTCTGCCGCAGTATCTTACTCGCAGTGTTGGCTACTCAGTGTTGGCTACTGAGCAGCTTTGACTGGCTGAGATGTGCAACATATTTCTCACACATATGCAGTTTGAAGAACTATAAGTTTCTCATACTGTTCCTATCAAGCTTTAATGTATAGTGCTTTCCTGGGTGCCAAGAAGAATTCATTCTTTTAAGTGTAATAAAGTTGTTGGCTCTATATGAGGACTGTGAATCTAATTTCTCATCTTCCTCTTGCTTGCTAGCCATTCCATTGGATCCAAAGGAGATTTAGTCCCTGGGAGAGAAACTGCTCTGTGCATTGGAAAATTAGATTATGTTTTCAGGGTGGGAAAAAAGTTTTATTCATTTAATCTTGTCAGTATCTTATCTCTATTGTGTCCTTGTGGAACAATATTAATTCTAAAAGAAAAAAAAACTGTAGGTTCTCACTTTAGGAAGAGATTTGTTAAGCTGCACTGCTTTGTATTTTACACTTGAAATGTGTGAAATGTGCTCTTCTCTGGGATTCACCAAGATCAAATCAGGATGAGAACAGGACATGAGTAAGTGTTATTCTCCTATTCACTAGAGGCTGTGATGTGCAAAGATTGATCGAGCAAAGAGAAAGTGTTTCTTTGAGGAATCAGGGGTGGAATGTGACTCTTAAAGAGAGACCCCAGACTCTCATCATGCCTTCTCTCTGATATATTTGTGCTCCTTTACCACTATATCAACTGTCTAAAGTAACTGGGTCTTGCTTTGCAGGATAATTACATTAATATCAGGGAAGAAGTCTCTGATAATGGCAAAGAAGGAAGTTACCATTTTGCCTTAAGTGGAAAATCCTTTCAGGTTATAAGTCAACATTTCAGCAGCCTACTGCCAAAGGTAAGTTCTAAGAGGATATCAATCCCCCAGTAAAGATGCTGATGATGTCACTTACAGAGCATGTTCTTAAGTAATTTCAAGATATATCTATTGAATGTATCATAAAAGAGGCAAATATTCTTGTTGTCTCATTTCCTACTAGATTTAAAATTAGTAAATTTGATTAGCCAGTTTCTCATCATCTATAGGAATAAAGTATTAGGGACTCTCAAGTCATAAGGATTGCTTTTGTATGGCTGTCTTTATATTGTTATGGTGAGGGGTCTCCTAGCATATTGGAAATCCAGTATTTATATAGGAAGGAAGGCCAAAAATAGAGGAATTCCATTAGGTTTTTCGATAGAGAAACTCTATACAAAAGAGGGTCAAACTTAACACTTTTCTGATGCAGAATGAACCCATAAGGGGGCAGGTAAGTTTTATGTATAACACGTAGATAAACTAGAAAAAGATTGTGTCCATTGTAATCCAAAAATAAATTGCTTGTATTCAATTTATTATCCTCTTAGGAACTATTTAAGAAGGAAAAAAAAAAGAATAAAGGCTTTGAGGCTGATGGGACATTAAGCTGAGTTAGTACCCAGAAGAGCAGGGTACATGGAGATGTAAGACAGAAGCATTTAGACCCTGTAGAATAAAGCTCAAATGGATGGAACTAGTATGGGTTTATTATCTCCAAACCATTGATGTTCCATAACCCAAATTAGGCTTGGGATATCAGCTGAGCTTCACAATTGGTCAAGTCTAGTTGGTATGGTTAAATTAAAGACTACAAATTGTCACTATTTCATCATTAGGCTGTTTTTCTACTTGTTCTGAACAATTTTCTGAGAAGCAGTTCCATCCTTTCCTTTTCTTGGGTCACTAACCTCTGAGTATCTTGCAATTTCTCATACTCTACTGGTTCAAGATTCCATGAAGCTCAGGATTTTTTGACCACATTCTCTATGGCAGTTCCACTAGATTCTTGAAGATCATCATTTTAATCAAATATTTTTATTAAGTCTTTACTGATTTTTTGTCTCCTTGGTCATTTATTTAGTGACCAGGTCTCAATGTCTTAAAATCCAAAAATGGACTTCTTGTAAACAGACTATTTTTGTCATTCATGGATTTTATTACCCAGTGTTCTGAGTATTATCAATTATCTCATGTATGCCCAACTGACATGATAAAAAGTTTCTCTTGGTTTCCTTACAGATACTGATCAATGGGACCATCTTTGCAAGAATGTCTCCTGGGCAGAAATCCAGTCTGGTGGAAGAATTTCAGAAACTGGAGTAGGTTTTTTGCCATCTCAGGTGGTATGAAGTGCCTAGAGGCGTGAGAGACAGGGAGAGTTGTGTGAGGTACAGAAGTCACCTAGTTTGGCTAAGGCAGTGGTTCTTAACCTAACTACATACGACAGTTACCTCAGGAGCTTTGAAAAAGTAGCAATACAGGGACCCCACTGTCCAGAGATTTTGATTCAGTTGCTCATGTAAGGCTTAGACATCAGTGTTTTTTCGAAGCTCCTCAAATTAAGTCAGTGTTGCATCTGGAGTTGAGAACTACTGGATCAGAATATATGGGGCATGAAAGTGTACGGCGAGAAAGGAACCTGAAAGGGTAGTCTGAGTTCAGCGCCTAAAGGTTCAATGAGATTTAAACTTTATTTTTACAAGTTATCATCACAGTTATGACATAAGGAGATTCATATGACAAAAGATTCATATAACCTTAAAAATATTAAAACATTTATATGACAGAGCATTCTCTCTGTCCTAAATCAGAAAAAATAGTTCTAATGCATGGGTCTTCATGACAGAGTAGACATTCAAGTAATGTAAGCATCATTTCGAACCCTTTATTTCTTGTTAATAGAACCCAGTGAGTCCTGGCAGCTTTCTTTACTTCTGGTGCTGGACCACATAGACATGACTCCTACTCCTGCCCACTCCTACTTCCTGTAGTCACTTGGCAAACTTCTCGATTCACAAAGCCCTGTCTTCTCCACATGGTTGCAAACCCAGACAGTAAATGAGTCGCCTTCGTATGACAGTGTGGAAGCCAATTCTGTAAATGCGGTCAGAGCACTCCTACCTTAGAAGCAGACTATCCATAATCTTTGTCAACAAATAAAGCCAGCAGTCTGCACTCAGCCCTGAAGAGCGATCCTGAAGTAGGGTTGTGTTTTCTTTCTTCAAAGTCTGAGCCTGGTGCTGCCTTTTTTAGTTGAGTGACTGCTGAGATGGCAGATATTCTCTCCTGTTGAGGATTTTCTTTCCTATTAAGAGCACCAACAAGTAATTTTTGCTTCTCGTTTTAGAGATTATAAGATGCTTTTCCATACAGCGCCTCACTGAATACTCATAACCCTTTGTAGAAGAAAAAATGATGGCCAAAAATGGCAATATGATCAGGTCAAAGGTCTCAATCTAGATTCAAATCTGATGCCCTCTCCACCGTACCACTGTGCCATGGTGTCACATCATATAACTGCGAGCCTCCCCTTTACAGCCAACAAAGCAGCTTCCTAAACAGTGACGTGCAGGGTCTCCCTGAAATGCTTGGAGTCAGGAATGGTGCACTGGACTTCTCATTCTATTGTGGAAACTGCTGAGTCACACTTTACTTGTGTCAAACTAGACTCTTAGGAAAACTCCCTTAAAATAAATAATCACTTTGAACCTTCAGTAATGAAGTTCACCTTATCTTTTTAATTAGAGTAATTAGTAGGTCAAATAGCTTTGATACCCTTTACAATTGACATGGTTCCCTTTTAGTTACTTCGTAGGTATGTGCGGTGACGGGGCCAATGACTGTGGGGTAAGTAGCTGCCAGTGAGTGGCACACTAAGACACTAAGTCACACTAAGACATACCAGGACTTACACCTGACTGTGCTTGCCGGACGTCCTTTAGAGACAATATCCTGGGGATGTATACTACCTCCATTGGTTTTGGTGGAGAAATTGATGTGGAGAGTTTGGGAGGGTTTGGACCAAAGCCATAGAATGGCTCAATGGTCAGTATAGACCAAATGGCTAAGTGTCCCAGTGCCATCTCTTTCTTACACAGTAGGCAGACCAAAAGCTGGTCAGCTCCTGGCTAGTTCTTGGGTCCACAAGCCACTCTGTGGCTAGTTCGATGGACTTCTCTCATGTGGCTTCAGGAGAGATGTATGAGACTGTGTTTGGAGAGTAAGCTGACCCCTTTGCTTTCAGGCTTTGAAAATGGCTCACGTGGGCATCTCGTTATCAGAGCAGGAGGCATCTGTGGCCTCACCGTTCACTTCAAAAACTCCAAACATTGAGTGTGTACCTCACCTTATCAAGTAAGTAGACACTTTGCACCAGCACTGTTTTAATCTTTCTTGACTTTCAGGTGCAGATTCCATTGTGCTGCCAGGAAAAGAGCAGGAAAACTTTCTGTTCCTGGGTGGGGAAGGTGCCTTGCAGGACAATGCAATCCACCAATCTACTCCCAAGTGGATTTACCAGGAGTTAAAAATAACTATGGGAGAATAGTGACATTTCTAATGAAAATCATTCAACAGGTTATTTTTAGAAAATTGGAATCTGGAACTTGTTACTCGCTTTGAAAATGTAGTTCCTACTCTTATTATTGTTATTTTTACACTGATTAGATGCTTTATAATGGGGGATGTACAGAAGCTTTCTCTTGCCCACTTTCTCTCTTTTCCTCTTGACTCTTTATGCTTCTTTGGAATATCCTTCCCATCCCCAAATATTTTCAAAATATTTATTCATTTTTGCTGCTTCTACTAAAATTTCCCCTGGTGCTTTATCTCTGCCTCCCAGAATATGTACTTCTGCTATATTTTATTTGAATGATAGAGATGGTTAGCATTGTGGCCGCTTTGGGCTATTATAACTAGCATGTATCTACAGTTTGTGAAGTGCTTTAATACTTACTATCTTATGCTTCAAAATAGCCTGGAGATGTAATAATGGTCACTATTTTCTTTTGCAAATAACAAAATTGAGGTTCCATTGATGTGCCCAAGCTCAAACATCCATATAGGATTAGAAATTATTAAAACATTAAATTTTACTTAAATGTCTTTTATCTACAGATATCACACTATTCCCACCACATTAAAATAATGATTTGGCTAGCTCCTCCCAATCTTTAAAAAAATTATGCATGTATTTGACAAATATTTATAGAGTAAGCACTTAGTGCCAGGGACTAGTAGAGACACTGGAGACCCAGAAGAAAGTAAATCACACATCCCTTGATCTCATAAAGCTTTCTTCTGGTGAAGAAGTCAGGCAATAAACACATGCATGGATAAATCAGGGTAATGAGAAAAGTAGGAAGGGGGCTGGGGAGGTGGAATTGGCTGCTATAGGTGAGGGGTATGTGAAAGCATTTCTGAGTAGGTGAGAGATGAAGAGGAACTACATTCTGGTAGAGCAACTGATGGCAGCAGAGCACCCAAACAGGAAAAAGCCTATCTTGAAATCAGGTTTTGGAATCTCAGGAAAACATTATGACCAGAAGGAAATTTAAACTCTATTTTCTTTCCAAGGAAAGACATAAAAGTGACAGTTCATAAGTAATCTACTTTCTGCTTTCAATATATACTATTTACTCAAAGTCAATCAACAGTAACAGAAACAAGGATGCTTATTGTTTCCAGTCTATTTAAATTCCATATGTGACTAATTTGACTGTAGGTATTGTTCTAGTCCAGTTTCAGAAAAAGTTGGCACTACCAAATGAGATTTTTTTTTAAAGATTTTATTTATTTATTCATGAGAGACACAGAAAGAGAGGCAGAGACACAGTCAGAGGGAGGAGAAGAAGGCTCCATGCAAGGAGCCCAATGCAGGACTCGATCCTGGGAATCCGGGATCAGGCCCTGAGCCAAAGGCAGATGCTCAAGCACTGAGCCACCCAGGCGTCCTACCAAATGAGATTTGAATGAAATGAAACACCTGCATGAAAATAGCCCCCAAGTCAGCAATCTTATTTAAATCCCTTAATTCACACAGATGAAGAAACTGTGTTAGAAGGAAACTGACCTTCCAAATGACATCAGTGCGTAGGTATGAGATCTGGGACCAGTTCCCAATCCCTCTTACTCTGGGTTCACATAAGGCCCCACACAAAGGAAGAGACTAACACTCAACCTGGGCTCTATAGCTGAACCAAGCCTGTGGATTTTGGCCTGGAATCGGTGTTTCCTGAAAATTTAGTCATTTTAGCATCCTGACAGCCAGCTCCCACTGGCTCAAGCCAGCTCCCAGTCTGTCAGACAAACAGTCAAATAATCAGGCTTTTGAGGTTTTTTTCCTGCACTTAGCTGAACAGCACAGAGTAACTGACCTCATTTCCTTCTATTCCTTTCATTTCCTTATTTTTCATTTCTTTTCTCACACAGGGAAGGACGCGCAGCTCTCGTCACCTCCTTCTGCATGTTTAAGTACATGGCTCTGTACAGCATGATTCAGTATGTTGGTGTTCTGCTGCTCTACTGGGTATGACTTGGGACCTGAGCTCTTGGTTAGTGAGAACTGAAACGAGTGGTGGTGCCCTCCCAGTCTGCAGTGCCTCTAAGGAAGAGTGCATGTGGGGAGATGCGAGCGCCAACAGCCCTTCTAAAGTTACCTTTATTTTGAAAGTAAATCAGAAATAGATGAATATACGCAGGAAAAGTTGATGGTATTAATTCTCTGACTCTCTGACAGACATTTTTTATGTAGTAGTGGTAGCTGAGGATCAGAACAGAGCAGACACTCCCTCTTTTTCACTCTTGCTTCTGCCTGCTTGGACCAGGTCTCTATCTTCCCAAGTCCAGTGTGACTCTACTCCAGTGTACCGTTCATTAAAGAAACGATTCTCTGATTGGGGTGCTGGTAAATGTTTCATAGCCAGCTCTCCCTGGAAAAACAAGCCCTGGTTATTAATGTTTGCCAACTTTCATGGTGTAAATACTTCCACCATGGCTAGTTTCGAGCTGTCTTAACGCCTGTCACTGAGCATCGAGTTGGGAAGAGATATGCAATAGCGTGCCATTACGTAGTACTTGCACTTCAGAGACACAAGAGTTGTAACTATCTTAAAGAGCGTAGATAACAGTATAATGTAGGATAATGATTAGGAAGCATTGGCTTTTGGTCATTTATTAGCTTTGTTTTTAGCATAATGTATTTAGTGGTAGATTTGTATGACTTAAGTGGCTGTGTTTAACAAACAGCTCAAAAAGATCCCTGAAAACTTGGCAGTTGACTCTCATGAGCTCGTACAAGCAGTATATTGCTGATTCCTTAGATTCATCTCTATGTACTGCCCTCTTGCTTCTGGATTGACGGTTTTGGTTGTTATTTTCAGATTATCTATGACTTTTCCCACTCACTAATGAATGGGTTGGAGAAGGAGAAGTTATGTATGTAAATAAATTTGGCACTATTTTGGAATCCCAATAATGCATGCTATAGAATTAAACATGGGTCATCATTATTCCTTTCCACTTAAAGGAGAGGGGGGCAAGGAAGCAAGTTTCTTGAAATCAGTAAGACTTTAATTTTTCTCAAGGATATCAAGGTGCTTTATCAGGACTTTTTTTAATTTTTATTTATTTATGATAGTCACACAGAGAGAGAGAAAGAGAGGTAGAGACACAGGCAGAGGGAGAAGCAGGCTCCATGCACCGGGAGCCTGACGTGGGATTCGATCCCGGGTCTCCAGGATCGCGCCCTGGGCCAAAGGCAGGTGCCAAACCGCTGCGCCACCCAGGGATCCCCTTATCAGGACTTTCTAATAATGCCCAAGAATGCAAATAGTGAGTTCAGTTATTCTCTTTTTCCATCAGTAAAATTTTGGTAAGATCAGCACGTATTTATCACTTGCTACTCCTGGGAACCCACTGTCCTATTGTGGCAGACCAAACCCTGACTTCTCTGCTAGCAGGAAGAAAAGAGATCAGAGATGAATCTACTAGAGTAAGATGTCCCCCTCAACAAGGGGATACCGATGCACCAAGGACTCAGCCCAGAAAGCACACAGAGGTAGCCTCCTGGCTAGAGAGGGTTTTGCAGCTTTGTCTTTGATACTCTCACCTACATGGACAGGACCCTGGCCACACCATCTCCTTGTAAAATCCTATGTTGCAGTGACAAAATGAATGCAGTTAACATCAGACTTCATCCAGAGGGTCACAACTTTTTTTGAGTCACTTTCCTTTTTATTTTTAGGAGACAAACAGCCTTTCAAATTACCAGTTTCTGTTCCAGGATCTGGCCATCACAACTCTTATTGGCATAACAAGTAAGACCTTTTTAAAACTTTCTTTGCTCCCCTCAGTATATTTCCCTCTGCCCCAGAAGGCCCACCAGGAGGGATATTAGCTATAGCCTCAGGATTATGGGACTCATACATACAGAGAGGATACATACAGAGAGGGAAAGAGGAAATAGGATCCCTCCTTTTGAGTGTTAGGTTAAAAGAAAAGTGTTAACAAAGGAAAATCTGGTTAGTCATCTTGCTGTTTTGCACAAAATATGGGGCTTCCATAATGGTCACTAAACATTTAAAAGGAAAAGTGCACCTTGAACATCAAGAATGCTGACTTCAGTATGCACCCCGTTTATAGAAGCTGAATGGCGTTTATGTTTTCCATCTTTAAATCCTAGCCTTTTGGGGTTTTGAATGGAGATTAAAGGTTATCTTGCCGTTAGGCCACTCTCACTCCCACCTCTTAATTGACATGAATTGTGCCCCCAATTTCCCTGCCGTAGGATTCCCCCACTTACCCACTCCCCATCATCTCTACCATATTCTCTGCTTTCCTGTTACAATAAATGCCAGCAATTCCACTTGTACTTTTAATACTACCTCCTCCTACCTTCCAAGGATTTTGTTTCTGTAATCATGTCTTTCTCCACCATCATCAGCTTTTCTCTGGTCTGCTGGATCATTCCCATCTGCATATAAATATATTTTCTTATCCTGTACCAGATCTGATATTCAGCAAAGTCATTGACTATTGACTGAGTGCCTAGTTTGTGTTACTTACTGGAATAGGCACTTGGAATACATCAGTGAAAGAAAGAAGCAAATAAAAATTCCTTTCCTTACATCCTAGTAAAATAGCACCACTAAGACCTGGAGTCATCCTTAGTTTCTCTTTTCATTACTCTTCACAGCCTTGGCTGTACCTGCAGAAGCCATCCTGCATCCCTCCTCTCAATACGCAGCTCTGTAGTCATTGTCATAGAGCAATGTCACCTCCCTTGTGGATTCCTGCAACAACCTCACAACTGATCTGGCTTCCCCTTACCCCTATACACCTTTCCAAGGGTAGCAAGAGTGTTCTTTTTAAAAAGTAAATTTTATTGTCATCCACATGCTTAAAATGCTTTGTTTGGCCCCTGCCTGCTTCTCTGCCTTTACTTCCAACCACATTGCTACTCCCTTGTTCCCAGCACCCTGGTCTTTCACTCTCTTGAGCACTGCCAAGCTCATGGTGACCACAGTACCTTTGTTTTTGTTATTTTCTTTGCCTAAAACACTCTTCCCTTCAATCCTTATATGGCTTTGACTTTTTCTTATTATTCAGACCACAGCTCAAATGTCACCACCTCAGGAAGGTCACTTTAAGTAGTCACCAAGCCAATTATTCTCTATCACATAATTGTGCTCTATTTTTATTTTATTTGTTCCCAAGTTTTATTCAAGAACGCATACAAATATTCCAGATAAATGAATTTTAATCTTCATCTTCCTCCTCTTCCTTGTCCTGGTTAACCTGGAAGTAATGCAATCCGTGATTCTCTTTGCTGTTAGCAACTACGCTCAACGAATCACATGGATTATTCTTCTTCAAATATTCTTTTTCTTTTTCTTTTTCTTTTTTTTTCAATTATTTTTTGATGAGATACTTCATTGCTGTAATTTTTCTCTTGCTCCTTTCAGTAGTTAAAACCCCTCCACTGAGATGCCTAGCTTTTCTGTTCATTTTGATTCTCTCTGGAAGAAACTGCTCAAAACTGGCAGTGCCCATGAGTCCCTCTTCTACAGGGTGGGTGCAGTCAAGGGCAAAGTTCAGAACTTGCTTCTTTTTTTTCTGCTCCCCTTTGCCACAAGCTTTTTCAAAGGCGAATGGTGGTAGCAGAGGCAGAAAGCACAACTGTGCTCTCTTTTTCTTGTACGGATCTTTTCACAATCTGAAATTATATTTATCAATATTTTACTTGCATTTTCCTGCCTTCCCTCTTCCAGTGTGCGTGAATGATGAGAACAGCACCCTGTCTGTCTTGACTACTGCTATGTTCCCAATGCTATTGATACTATTGACAGTGCCTAACATATCCAAGGGGCTCATTAAATACTTGCCAAATCTCTGGAAAGAACACCTTTGGACAGTCCATACTGTTAAGAGAGTTCTTCATTTCAAGTCAAACCTATCTCTGTGTAGCTTCCATTCACCTTTGTTCTGCCATTGCAGTGGCATAGGGTAATCTGAGTTTTCTCCCCGAGACAGTCTTTCTTCCAGATTTTTGAAAACAGCCCTCTTTTCTTTCATGATTGTTCCCTGTTCAGTAACAGGCATCTCCAGGTTTTTCTTTATTTTTTAATAAATAACTTGATTATTTTTGTTCTTATGATTACTAATACATATTCATTGTAAAATGAAGATAGAAAACATCACAAGGTATGACAAAGGAAAAAAACCCACCTTTGTTCTACCATTCAGAGCTAACCAATTAACACATTTTAATGTATACGTATAAATGAAGAAATCTGAATTATGTTCTCTAGATAGTTGTGCATACATTTTTTTCATTTAACTTTATAAGTACTTTTTTTTAGGTTTTATTTAAATTAAAGTTAACAGATAGTATATTATTAGTTTCAGGGGTCAAATTTAGTGATTCACCAGTTGCATATAACACCCAGTGTTCATTCCATCATGTGCTCTCCTCAATGCCCATCACCCAGTAACCCCATCTCCCCACCACCTCCCGTGTCGCAACCCTCAGCTTGTTTCCTATAGTTAAGAAGAGTTTCTTATGGTTGCTTCCCTCTCTGTTTTTATCTTATTTTTCCTTCCCTTCCCCTAAAATCTTTTAATGTCATTAAATATTTTAATTATTTTTTATTGTGGTAAGATGTATATAACATAAAATTTGCCATTTTAGACATTTTTAACTGTCTAGTTCAGGAGCATGCATGACATTCACAGTGTTGTGCAACCATTACCACTGTCTACTTCCAAAACTTTTTAATCACCCCAAACAGAAACTCTGTACCCATTAAATAACAGCTCCCCATTGTTCTTCCCAGCCTCTGTTAGGTAATCTGTAATCTACTTTTGGTTTCTATAAAGTTGCTTATTCAGATATTTCATATAATCAAACCATGCAATATTTGTTCTTTTGTATGGCTTATTTCAATTAGCATAGTGTTTTCAAGGTTTACCTTTGTTGTGGCATGTCTCAGAACTTCATTTGTTTTTTATGGCTGAGTAATATTCCATTCTATGTATATACCACATTTTGTTTATCCATTTATCTGTTGATGGAGTTGAGCTGCTTTCACCTTTTGGCTCTTATAAAGTGCTACAATGACTATTTGCATAAAGTATTTGTTTGAGTCCCTATTGTTAATTATTTTGGGCATAGGAATTAAATTCTGGGTCCTATGGTCATCATATACTTGGCTCTTTGAGAAATGTCCAAACTATTTTCCAGAGTGAGTATATATCATTTTCCACTCTCACCAGCAATGTATGAGGATCTCAATTTCTCCACAGTCTCATCCATGCTTGTTATTTTACTTAAAAGAATTTGTTTTCACATCCTAGTCAGTACAGAATGGTATCTTATTATGGCTTTGAATTTATTTCCTTAATAATTAATCGTGTTGAGCATATTTCCACATACTTATTGGTCACTTGCATGTTTTTTTTGGAGAAATGTTTGTTCAAGTCTTTTGCTCATTTCTTAACTGGATTTTTGTCTTTTGTTGTTGAGCTCTAGAGTTCTTCAAATGTTGTGGATGTCAAAACCTTCTCAGACATTATTGCAGACATTTTCTCCCATTGTAGGTTGTTTTTTTCCCTTTCATGATAATGTCCTTTGATGTACAAAAGTTTCTGATTGAAATTAAGTCCAGTGTATCTATTTGTTCTTTTTATAGTTCATGCTTTTGGAATCACATCTAAGAATTCAGTGTCAAATCTAAGGTGTTATAGATTTACCCTATGCTTTCTAATAAGATTTTGTGGTTCTTAGGCACCTTTTCATATTTTCTCTTTATTGATATTTTCATTTAGTTCATACATTGCTTTCTGATTTGAAACAGTTGTTTTAAAGTCTTTGTCCAATATGTCCAATGCCCATGCTTCCTCAGAGATGATTTCTGTCAGTTTATTTTGTTCCATTAAATATTATCATGTCATAACTCTGGAAATCAGATTGACCCCCTTCCCTAGGGCTTGTGGTTTTTGTTTTGCTATTTCTTGAATGCTGTCATAGTCCATTTGTTTAGTGACTTCCCTGAACTATTTATGCAAAGACTTTATCAGTTGTCATGTATGGTCAATGAAATCTCTGTTGCTTTAGTTTTTGTTCAGCTAGTGTTTTGACAAAGATTTTCTCGACCTCTACGAATTTAAAATTATGAGCAAAGAAAAGCTCTCCCAGTCTTTGCAGATTTGTTCTTCACTGAGACACTTCAACACCTAGCAGGCTTACGCTGAGTGCAGAGATCATCCAGAGCTGGAAATTGGGGGGCTATTCTGGTCTTTTCTGAGCATGTATCTATCTTGCCTTAGGTGTGTGCATGGCTTTCTATAATCCCCAATAAACACAGGTGCTTTTGAATGCCATAATTTCCCAAAGAAACTTTCTTTAGCCTTTATTTATAATAGCTGTTATTTTATGTCTCAACTCTTTTGCCCTGGGTGATTATAGGTAGTTGGTTAGCCTTATAATATTTTTTAAGCAGTATACGCTGCTGCCCTGAGTTAAGTTTTGGATTAGGTGAGATAGAGATGAGTGCCTTGCACCAGTGCTTCAGGTAACCCCCAGACAGGTTAAAATAGATCTATACAATAATTTGTGATGAAGTCTGCTCTTCCCCTTCTGTGACCAGACACCAGAGTCCTTCCCACATTAGGAGTGTGAATGATCAACTTTGAGATTGTCACTGAGCTGAGAAGGGGGTAGGGCAAGGGCAATTAAAAGTGACACAAAGCCTTCCTACCATTTTTAAGTTGCCTTTTTCTTGATTCAACGTTTGTTTGATTGCTGTAAACCTTTGTTTTTCAGCATTCTGACAAAGGTAGTTTTGACAGTTTCTGCTTGTTTTTCAATGTTTCTGTGGAAGGATGGGAACTTAGAGTTGCTTGCTCTGCCACTTTTTTAGCGTCATTCCTCATTTTGTCATTGACTATTTTAAAGCATTACTTCTTGGTGACCGCATGTTTTTCATTATGTAGATGTACCATAGTTCACTGTTAATGATGCAGTAATGAACATCTTTCTACATCTCTGATTTTTTTTTTGGCTTAGGATAAATTTCCAGGAATGACTGTGTCAAGTGCTATGAATAGCTTTCAGTCTTTTCATATTTATTGTAAAATTGCCCTGCAGAAGGTTTGTGTCAATGCACATTCCCCCAAGCAGTCTATGAGAGTATGCATTTCATCATGCCTCACCTATAATTTGATAGCCTTTGCTCATTCAATAGACAAAAATAAAAATGCCTTATGATTGTCCTATCTACTCTCTTAGGGATTCCTCATATGATTTGAGTTGGAATCCATTCATTGTTTTGTTCCCTCAAAACAATGATGTACTTCAGTTTGTCAATTTGCTTGGATGTATGGGCCCAAGAAGTTATACTGTTCTTCTGATGAAGAATACAACATTTTCCTGCTCTCACAAATATGAAACTTGAATTTATTTTGTAGTGAATTTGAATGGTGCCTACCCCAAGCTGGTGCCTTTCAGGCCTGCAGGACGGCTGATCTCTCCACCTCTGCTGCTTTCTGTGATTTTCAACATTCTTCTCAGCCTGGCTATGCACATTGTGGGCTTCATTCTGGTTCAGAGGCAGCCTTGGTATTCCATGGAGATGCACAGGTACTATCACAGCCTCAATTCCAGCATCTCACATTCTAATTTCTATCAAATGTCATCTGGCCCCTATGACAGGAGGCAAATCATTCTTCATTCTTCTAGGAGCATTGACTTCTTGAAGTCCCTTGGGAAAATTTTTGGTGATCTCTTCTCCATAACACAGTTTGAGGATATTATTCATTGGCACTTACCTCTGCCTGTCTTGTGTCATAATGATCTATGACCATCTTTTATATCTAGGGTGACCATGCTTATACTTTGCCTGGGCAGCCTCACTTTAAGCCTGATGTCACAATGAAATTATTTGTATTTAATTAATTAATTACTGAAGTATAATTGGCATACAGTGTTATGTTAGTTTCAGGTGTACAAGCTATCGATTTGACAATTCTATACATAATTCAGTGCTTACCACGGTAAGTGGTGACAATCTGTCACCATGCATTATTATGATATTATTGATTATATTCCCTATGCTGTACTTTGCATCCTCATGACTTATTCATTTTGTAACTGGAAGTTTGTATATCTTAATCCTCTTTATCTATTTTCCCAATTCCCCTACCCATGTCTCCTCTGGCACCTACCAGTTCTTCTGATGATATTTGTCTTTTCCTTTAACACTCAAATCTGTTCTTGTTGGATGACAAATTATATGGTCACCCTATTTATAAACGTTTAGAGATCTTAAGCCATGAGAGGGAAGAATCATGGCTTACGCACATCTTTCCCACACAGCCAAAATACACATGATGGGTATCCAATTTATTGAATAAATAACTTGCTTATCTATCTATCATCTATCTATTTTTTATTTATTTATCTATCCAAAATATAGATCTACCTGTGCTGGTTTCCTTCTTTTTACTTTCCAGTATATTCTTTCCCAAAGTATAAGTAATTATACTAAGGACATGGAGTCCTGTAGATATAAATGTTCCATAAAGACCTACCATCTTACTTCATTACTTCTTTTTTTTTTTTTAGTGCCTGCATACTGCAAAACGAAAGTATCTCAAAGTTAACTATTTCTCCAACTGCTCCAGGAAACATTGGAAATAACGGTGCCTTCACAAGCTATGAGAACACTACCATATGGTTCTTGGGAACAATCAACTGTATCATTGTGGCTCTTATTTTCTCTAAAGGAAAACCATTTAGGCAGCCCATCTATACAAACTGTGAGTAGCACTGTATTAAATCAAGGTGAGAGATCACCAGAGGGAACAGACATTCCAGGGTCACTCAGGGAGCAGCTGCAGAGTTGGTGCTTATCTTGTGTCTCCTGCCTTCTACTCTAGGGCTTTGTAAAACACACTGTGCAGCCTCATCCTTTGCTCCTTCCCTCAGAGGTGCATTAAGTTCTAGGGTTCCCTTCTCTACCTCTTTCCTTCACCAGAAGTTTGTCTCTAGGTGTCTTTTCATGGCACCACTCCAAACTGGGATGGCTCATTTATTTCCTTACCTGTCAGTACTTGTCAGAATTCATCTGAGAGGAGGTGGAGAGGAAATGCTACAGCACTCAGTTAGAACACAAGTCCTGTCATGAAGACAATGGTTAAGATGGCATTGTGTCATTGGCAGGGTGGGAGTGGGTCCAGTCTGTAGGAATCTGGCCACAGTGATTGTGAAAGCGTTGAGCCAAAGTACCTGTCTCTTCTTACATTCTGGGTAGGCATGGGGAGTATGTTAGGAGAAGAGGGTGACCTGGTTAGCACTTGGGACATTTATTTGTATGTTACCCCCATCTCTCTAATTGGAAAAATTTAGAAGCACAAATTGAAGAACCAATATCCTCATAAAAATTTGTTCAGAGAAAACTATGTTGCCATTCTCCTTCTTGGGATGAAAAAGCAGTCAAATGCTGACCTGTACATGATTGCAATTTAAACTTTTTGATTATTTACAGCCCTCTTTTTTTCCAGAAAAAGATTTGAGGCAGGTGTTTTGCATTAAAGAGACTCAGATACTTAAATGTCTTCAAGGCATTTTCTGAAAATGTATTATATCAGTGTTGCTCTCTCTATATTTCCCACTTTTACTAATTGAAACTTACAACATGTATGTGAAAATTTCCACTTGCCTCAAGGACATGCATAGACATTGTGGAGGTGAGACCCATTGCATTGAAATGAGTACTTTCCATTTATTATGCTGTGTTTGGATGTAGAAATCAAGTAAATTTAATCAGTGCTAATATAAAATATGTCTATCAATAGATGTGACACTCTATACTCTGATTTCTCTAAATGATAGCTTGTGTTCTTATTTCCTCAGATATATTTGTCCTTGTGCTGGTCATACAGCTGAGTGTGTGTCTATTCATTCTATTTGCTGATATTCCAGAATTATATAGGCGTTTGGATGTAAGTCTTATCTCTGGGATGTAATGATGGTTTACAGTTGTATAACACCCTGACTTCAAGAAGCAGGTCACGATTGCAACTGACATAGATTCTTGACACTGATTTTTTTTTGGAATAGTGAAGTTAAAAACAATACTGAATTTATTCATATTTTCTATTTAAACGGGTCAGGAAGTCAGATTATGTCTAGTCTTGATTTCAAATATTCCAGAAACATTGAACATTTTTCTTTTAAAAGATCCCTGTAAGAATGGAAAAATCTATTTATATATATTCTCTTTCAAGTGTGAGAGAAATTTTTTCTAAATGCTTCTGTTGTGAAGTTGTTGAAAACAGTTTGCCTATCACACTTTTTCCGTTAATCCTCAAATCTGTATTTATATCTTTTTTAAAAAATATCTTTAAAAACATGTTTGTCTATATGTTCATATTTAATGTCTGCAAAACTTGCTTGCAGAGACCCATACCTTACCTCATGAACTCTCTTAAACTGTGTCACTTTGAGACAAATTTCAAATTCCTTAAGAGACAAATTTTACATGTTCGAGCATGGAAAAATATATATTTCTATTCCTTTAACCTATACTTTTGAATTAGAAGTTCATTAGTTCATTATTACCAAATATCCTTTAGACCAATAAATAGAATAGAGAAGAGATGGTGAAAGGAAATGAGCTTTTATTACTTAGTGCTACGTGAACCTACCTGCCCACCTCTCCATCTCAAAGACATGTTTCATGAAGGTCAAGATCCTATCCTATTTATCTTATTCATCTCATATTACTAGAGCTTGACATAGCCTATGGCACATAATGGCAATAAATGACTCACTGATTGTTGTAGATTAGGTTCCTATGTGGAGATGAGCACAGGGAGCTCACATGCTGTCTAGTTATTGCAAACCAGTAAAACCTTCACAAACTCTTCTTGACATGTGACATACAAACTAATGTCTACATTTGGTTTTCATTCTGATGATTGTGTCACTGTGTTAAACCTGTAATTGCCACTATTGTTAAATATGTCCATGAATTAGAGTAAATATTCATGGAGGTAGTCTTTGCCCACTAGTCTTCTAAGTAACTTAAAACTTCTAAATCCTGTAGAAGTTAGGTTTAAGACATATTGGGTTTGGTCACATTCTTTATGAGTTAAGACTCTTATAGAGAGTGTGATTCTTCCAGTACAAGAAAATAGGGAGTCTGTTTAGCTTGGGGAGAACCTGTGTGGGGTCATTGCCAACATGACTGCAAAGGAGTCTGCAGAGAATTATTGTTCACCTTAAAAATAATTATCTTTTCTTATTATTGCACAAAATTGGGGGTATATTTTAGAAAGTGAATATGCAGGCAAAGAAAATTGTGACCATTATTCATTATATCCTTCTATCTTTGAAACCATATATTATAAATGTGCATTGACTGATTTATGAAGTTTTTTTTAAATGGAGTCATGCTGTCTAGTCATTGCTCGTTTTTTAAGAAATTGCATGATTTTTTAAAATAGAAAACACATTCACACAGTTTAAAATTCAAGTTAGAAACTCTGTATCAAAGAAAAAAAAAAGAAACTCTATATCCTCCCATCTTTTTTCCCCAGCTATCAGGTCTCCTCTCTGGAGGCAACTGATGACACTACTTTATTTTATGTACTTTCAGGCATATTTTATACAAAGGCATACACACATATATATTTCTGACATGTATATCCTCCCACATTTTTACACAAATAGTAGCAGACTATTACATTCGTCCAGGTCTTCTGAGCTGGAAATGGCAAGGTGAGATGAGATGTGTAAACAAGTTGTGGAGGGAATGCCTGTAAGGAAAAGAACATTAGGAAGCCAGAAGAAGAGAGGTTCTTGTGGAGGGAATGCCTGTAAGGAAAAGAACATTAGGAAGCCAGACTATGATGTGGGTCTGACCCCTATGAAGGAAGCAAGGAGGGAGGAAGGACCAGATGAGTAGGGATTCAGACTGCAGTGCAGCTCTAAGAAAGCCTAGCCACAGTTCCCCATCACAGGTGTCTAGTGTCTCACAAGAATGAGTGCAATAAGAAGATGTGCCATCCTCAGTTATTAGCTTTGAGTAACCCCTGGGAAGTGTGGCCTTAAGGTGAGCGTGGTGGGGATTTCGAGGGTAGCACTGGAGCACCTGCCACTTATTCCCCCAGTAGGAAACCTGCATGGAGTGTGTTCATGGCAGCCACAACCACATACATGGTTCCTCACCTTGTTCTTTCATGAGACGGTGTATTTTGGTAATTGTCCCATAATAGTTCATAAAGCTTCCTCATTCCTTTTTTTTTTGCTAATATATACCATAATTTATATGTAGTTCCCTATTGATAGACATTTAGGTTGCTTCCAATGTTTTGCTATTATAAAAAAAGCTGCAATGAAATAACAGTATACATATATCATTGCAGGCATGTACAAATATATCTCTAGGATAAATTCCAAGAAATGGTTTTGAACTCTTAATTTTACTAGCACTGCCCTCCATGGAGTTGTACCAATTTTAATCTCCCCTCCCCACCATGTAGAAAGCAGTGTATGAAGCGGTGCTGAGTATAGCAGTATGTGTTTGGTTTCATTTCATTCATCCATCCATTCATTCCTTATTTTATCCATCCATTATATATATAATGTGCATGGGAGGAATTGGGAAAGATGCAGAGAAACTGGGAAAAAGGCATGAAGTGACAGCTTGATTTCAGCCCCACTTCCTCCATTGGTGACTATCCTCATCATGGTACCATCAATGCAGCTGTACACACAGTCCTAAGGGTGAGCCCTGACTCAAGGCCCAAAAAGCAGGGCTCAGCTGAGGGGTGATGTGGAACCAGAAAGAAGAGGACAACAGTGCCCTTTGTGGAGGTTTGACATGTGTACCCTCAGAGCCTCTGAGAAATAGAACGACATTCCTGTATTCCCTCATAAAAGCAAATTACTGTAAGCAAACAAAAACTACTTTTATTAAATTTATCACATTTATCTTAGGAAATTCAGAAATTATGGGGAACCAAAAAATAAGAAGAAGAAAGAAAGATAAAATACAGTAACAATCCTAGTTTACAAATCATTGGAATTTTGTATTATAATCCTTCCGTATTGTTTGATACATGCATAAAAAATATACGCCTTATTATATGTGTTATACATACGTCACATACATGATTTATAACCTATGAAAATGTACACCGTGAACATGTGAACATTTTTCTAGTGTTTGTCTTCAAACTAACAGTGATTCTCCATCTCTCACCAGCTGCTCTGCACTCCTGTTGTGTGGAGGCTCTACATCATCATTATGCTCAGCTCCAATTTCATTGTGTCCCTTGTTGTGGAGGTAAGTGCCCTGGGGCTGCCGATCATTTGGAGCAGGGAGGGACAGGGCATTCTTTGGGAGTCTGAAAAAAGGAACAGCTTTAGTTGATCAGACTAAGGGGCAGTGTAAGGGGCTCCCTTCCTTGGCCACATGAGCAATGGTGCTTTCCCCTGGTGAGTTCCAGACAAGGTGTTAGTTTTCCCATCTATAGAGTGGACCTGGAGAGAATGGGATTATGATATCCAAGGTCCTGTTCATTTCTAAAATCCACAAATAGAGACCAATTCAATTAATTTTTCTGAAATTAAATATGATTCACATACTATAAAATTCTCCTTCTTGAAGTGTACACTTCAGTGGTTGTTAGTATATTTACTGAGTTGTGCAACCATCACCACTAACTCTAGAACATTCTCATCACCTCAGAAGAGACCCTGTACCTGTTAGCAGTCGCTCCTTATTTCCCCTTTCCCCTCCTTCACCCTTTGGCAACCCCTAATTTATTTTCTGTCTCTAGGGGTTTGCTTATTCTGGACATTTCACATAAAGGGAATCACATAATATATGGCCTTTTGTGTCTGGCTTCTTGCACTTAACAACTTCTATTACTTTTACTTTACAGATGGGAAATAAGATTCATAGTGAGCTTTTCCTGGCTTTTATTCTTCATCTCCCATTTGCTCCATTTCCTCAGTAAAATGAGTTTGTGCTTCCTATTTCTTTGGCTACATGGTTCAGTCTCTCCTCCTTCAGTTCTCTTAGACAAGCTCTCCATTCTTCAAAGTCTACTGGAGAACAGGGGGCATCCCAAGAAAAGGCATCCGTGTCAAAGGGGAGGTGAGCATCAGGATTCTATCCATCCCCACCCCTACTTCTGGTTGCAAATTCAGCTTTGTTCCAGCGATTCACAGCGGGCAGAGAGTACCTGGAACCTGATTTCCATGCAGAACCTTCCATACTGGGCAAAGTAAAAAATGCACAGGAGCTGGTGGCAGATGAGGGCATAGAATTAAGGTACTGGAGCCTCTCTCTGTATGCAAAACCAGGGCCTCTCAAACTTGAGTGGGTGTCAGAGTCACCTGGAGGACTTGTTAAAACACAGGTTGCCCAGCCCTTCCCCCAGCACTTCTGATTCAGTAGGCCTGGAATAGGCACACATTTTTGTTTCTAACAGGTTGTCAGGTGATTCTGATACTGCTGGTCAAGGAACCACACTGAGAAATACCACGCTAGCCCATATGGTCTCCAAAGCCACCAAGTGAATAAAGGATACATGTGTATCCTCATAACCTAGTTGCGGAAGGGTGAATCTTGACCTTTAAGGGGTAACTTTATGTATGTATCTTGTCTCTGGCACAATCACATTATTTCCTCTCTCTAGTACATCTGCCTTCATGTCTGCCTATTGAAATGCTATTTCATCCTCCATGGCACGGCTGTAGTACTATCCTCTTCACGAATCTTTCCCAAAGCATAGATGGGTTAGGCAAGTAACAGTGGCTTAAACAATAAAGATATTTACCGACTCACTTAAGAAGATTGGAGGTAAGTGGTTTCAGGGCTGGTTTAGTAACTCAATGGTGTTCTTGTGACTCATCTTTCACTTTTCTGTCTCCCCATCTTTAGATATTGACCTTTCATGTTGGTGTGTATTGCTTATGGTGTCCAGATAGTTTCTATGTAGCTGGGCAGCATCTCCATTTTAATGCAGAAAAAAAAATGAAAGGAGAGGCACCAGCAAGCTTTTCTCCCTCAGATATGAATCTCTTATGAGGAAACAAAGTAATTCCCCATAGTCACCCAGTCTCTTAAGCCTCATTGGTTGGAACTGTATCTTATTGTTGTCCTGAGTACAAAAGGATTCTGGGAGAGTGGATCTATGCCAAAAAAAGTAGACAGATTGGCTTAGATTATTTGTGAGTTATTTCCTTTTAGGTGGACAGGAAAAAGTTGGGAGGAAGGCACAATGGGGTAACTGACCAACAAAGTCTGCCAGGAAGGAAGCCGTTCAACTGCTACAATATTTGCAGTTAGAGCATAAGCCAGAAGTAGTCAACCTGGGTTTAAATCCTGGCTCCACCCTTTCTTGCTGCCTGACTCTGGGTAGCACCAGCTATTCCACTTCTCTGTGCTTCTGTTTCTTCATCTGAAAAACAGTGATAATAAGGGTATCTTACCTCATAGGGTTACTGTAGCATGAAACCTGAACACAGAAAAAGCACATGGTAAATGTTTGATAAATATCAACTATTATTATCATATTATCTCTTGTGGTACTTAGTATTTCTTTCTTTGAATCTATCAATCATTTAGGCTTTCTTCTGCTCACTCACTCTTCCCACAAACAGTTGTTGACCATGTGTCATGTGCTAGGGCACAATGTGAGGTGGATTCTGATGATCTTGTCGATTGCTCACACTTTATGGTGAGCAAGAGGATAAACACCACAGCTATTTGTGTATCGATATAAATTATGCTGGCAGGAACTCATCTCAGTACCTTCAGTATCTAAACTGCTTTATTCTCATCGAAGCTGGGTAAAGTTTGGTTCAGTGATGAAATGTTAAGAAGTGACACTGCTCACCTGCAGCAGATGGAGAGGGTAATTTGATACTCATGAAAAATTAAGTTTCTCCTTTGTTTCTTCTGTCCAGTGAGAAATGGAGACAGGTATGGATGTTTAGTGTGGGTTCCCAGGAACTTTCACACCGAGAAATAACACTGTGGGATCCCAGCTCCCATCCCCAACTGGCTCTTTCACGGCAGACTCCAGTTGTTTGAAGTTACCCTTCTGCTGTCAGTAGGCACACAGGAACAAACCAAAGCCATTTCAGTCTATGGTGAAGGCAGTAGCAATGGAGAATTAAGGACACTGAGATTTCTTGCCTTACGCGGTGAGCCTAGCAGAGTAGGTGAAGACCCTAGACTGTCATGGATGCAACAAGATATTGTCCTCAGGTAGCTGTAGGTATGTGTGACAGCAGATGCTAGAGATTCTTGGGATGGACTTGCTAACTCCATGTTACCTGGCCGGCCTGTGACAGAAATGGTCCAGAGAGCTTTTGGGGGAGAGGCATGAGGGATGGCTGGCCTCCTTTTGTACAATCCTGAATATTGCCTGGTCCACTAAGATGTGTGACTCTACCCCTAATCTTAGAGCAGCCCAGCAAACAGCTTTGAATGGAACCTTATCCTTACTTTGCTTTCTCATGATGTAGCCTCCAAATAAAAGGCAGAGGAGTAAATATGGATAGCTTTAATTCTCCTCGCTTTTTTATTACTTATGTGTATTTTGTATATGTATGTATGAATTACTTTAGTAGCCAATCTGAAGTTTTGTTTTCTGTTATTTTAAGAAATGGTGATTCTTAAAGGGTTTCCTTTTGTTTCTAGTTCTACATTTAATATAGAGGGGCAGGACAGATCACTTCTCAGTGCTTTGGTTTCCCTTTCCAGAGCAGCAAAGTGACACAGGTCATCATAATTCTATGTAATTCTAGAATTCTGTAAACACTTAATGCATGGCATACAGCACTAAAGTCTGTCTGTGAGGGTGTGTGTGTGTGTGTGTGTTGTGTTGTGTGTGTGTTTTGCTTTGTTTCATTTGTTTTGTTTCAAACCTGCTAAGTTAAAGACCATTAACAGGATACCTATGATCCTGCCTTATTCTAGCTCTAAGGAGAACTACTGTTCTCTTGTTAATTAAGAAGGACAAAAAAATCTTGGTGTGGGAAAGTAGAATCACAAGTTTGACTAGGTGAGCCCTGAGGTTTGCAAGATGCTCTTTAAATGACTGTGAGGGTCTTTAGCAGCCTAGTAGCAGATGATCCATTTTTAGAGAAAGACTAAGACTAGCTACTCCCATTATTTCTATGGACAAAGGGACTCAAATGTCAAAGATGGGTGGATTTTAGGAAAATTACTACTCTGGCAAAGTTCCTTATAGAATTCCATAGAATTGACTCTTTCATTCAGCAAAGATACCACTGGTAGACACCAAAATGAGTTCTAATTTTGTGGGATAGCAGGCTTCTCATATTTTTCTTTTTGTTTCTCTCATGATAGCTTCTAAATGATTAGCTTTTATGGCTACATATGATACAAATGAAAAATTAACAAAATAACCTCTCCTGCACTCTGTGTTGTAAGTTATAACTTGGGCTCTATTTGAAGCTTAGTATAACTCATGAAATAAAAAGTCAGTCTAAAATGTTTCCAAAGAGACAAATCCTTTGTATTCTTAAAAAATGCATTGCAGGGGATCCCTGGGTGGCGCAACGATTTGGCGCCTGCCTTTGGCCCAGGGCGCGATCCTGGAGACCCGGGATCGAATCCCACGTCGGGCTCCTGGTGCATGGAGCCTGTTTCTCCCTCTGCCTGTGTCTCTGCCTCTCTCTCTCTCTGTGTGACTATCATAAATAAATTTAAAAAAATTTAAAAAATGCATTGCAATGAAATATTTGTAGGTGAAGGTCAGAGGCCGCAGTCAACATAGTGCATTAGCCACTTGTTAAATAAATAGTTCAGAAGGGGGGGACAGAGAGGCACCTATGCCATGCCATGCCCTGCATTTTGAGGATAGTTATGTAATCTTTATGACAAACATGAAAGGAAGGAATTCCTTTTTCTATACTCACTGAGGCTCGAGAAGGTAATTAATTTGCCCATATTAAGTGTCAGAGCTGGAACTTGAATCCAGATCTGTCCAGCCAAGGCTGTGGTGCGTATTCCAATTTTACTGACCTATGTTCACAACTATGCACTTACATGTTAGGGCACACCAAAGCCACATCTTTCCATAGGGTAATTCCATTTAGGGGTAATTTTAAATATAAAATTTTATATTTTATAGTGAATTTATAGTAAATCAAATACAGATGTGGTATGGAGTGGACTGCAGAATTTGAATGATTTTAAATTTAATTTACATATGAGAGTCAGAAGAAATTTCATCCTTGAGCAGACTACTTCAAGCTATTTCCAGATTCTTGAAACTATGTACCTCTCTCTTCTCCCAGAAGATTTCCTTAAGTGGAAAAGTTTGAGAGGCTGAGACCTAACCCATGAAACCACACTGAAATTGTCTGTTCAGGCCTCAAGTGTTTTGTCAGCCTGGATCTTAGCAACCAATGTGGTGGTCCCTTCTTAGGGTCTATAGAGGGCCATCACCTGGAAATATTTGACCTCTGGTTGTAAAGAGTAACTCTTTTGTTTTGCAGGAGGCCATCATTGAAAACCGAGCCCTGTGGATGTCATTCAAAAGGTGTTTCGGTTATCAATCAAAAAGCCAGTATCGGATATTGCAGAGGACCTTGGCAAATGACCCTAGTTGGCCGCTGCTAAACCAAATGTCCTACTCTGACACGCCAGGGTGTGAAAGTGGAGTGTCTTACAGCAATCCAGTATTTGAGAGCAATGAGGAACAACTCTGAAGCCAGCGTGATATCGAAGTTGACAAACAATTACATAAGGAATGAGTTTCAGTGATTTTCAAGCAAATAGACTCTTCTAAAATCAACGGAGTTTTTGGAATCAAAAACCCTATCCAATCGTGGTGGCAAATTAGAGTCTACTTGATAAAATACCTTCTACAGAGCAGAACACTGTCCCAGAAGAGTGCTTCCCTCTTGGCTTCTGAAAATACTGATGGTGTTGGTGAAATAAGAATGGGCCAAGGATGGCAATTGACCAAGTGCCTGAGAGGCTAAAGGACAAGAAGAATATATAATCTTTCTTCTTAGATAACATATTTTTTAAATGAATTGTGAGAATATAGCACTATGTGTAGTCATAGTGAAAGATCATTTTTGAATTTGTATTTTATTGGTGGAAAAACAAATGCATGGGAACCATCACACCAATCTTCACTGTTTGGTTTCCTTTCCTTTATAGTACATTCAGGGTTGAGACATTTCCTTCTGCTTCTGGCTTTCCCCTATGTACTAGTAAAGATGGGCAAAGCTGATGCTGCAATAACAAACCACTCCCTTGTCTCAGTGGCTTACCACACAAGAGTTTCTTTTGTGGTCCAGGTGATTCTATCGACTAGCTCTCCTCCGAGTGGTGACTGCTTCAATCTGTCAGTCCCACCGACTGAAAACAAGGATTCCATGTTTACTGTGATGGGGAAGGAAGAGTCTGGAGATCACACAAGGGCTTTCCACTGCCTCATCCCAAAAGAGGCATGCATCTCTTCCACTACTCACATCTTATTCATCACTGACTTGGCAAAGGAGCTAAACAGTACAGTCTGAGTTTAGAGCTGGTTTCATGGGCATATGACCTGTGCCATCACCTAGGGGGCCATGCTTAGAAGAGACCCACACTCATTTTAATGCTTTGCTGTTGCCATCTTGAAATTCTTAATTTTTGAACAGAGGTCCCCACATTTTCATTTTGCACTCAGCCCCACAAATTATGTAGTTTATCTCACTTGTGTTCCAGAAATACTGACACTGTTCTCTGAGCTCTGCATCTCTTGCTCCTGTGAGCCTCTCCTGTTTTAGGAACTCCACATCTCACTTGTCCAACTCGAGGTATTTCCACTCCTCTGCCCTATTATTTTGGAGAAAAGATAGTCTTGTGCTACAACATTGTATGTTATCATTGATGTTAAGTCCCCACACAATTTACACCTTCCTTAAATCTGAGGCTTCAGTTTTCAGAAAATAAAAATTGCCCTTATTTTATCACTATTATAATTTTATTATATTAGATTAATTTGGCATAGAAAACACCCAGGTTTCTGTTAGCTCAGCAGACAACTCTGAATTCTAGGATAAAATACACAAATAATATTTTAAAGCAAAAGCAAAATTTTCACCAGAAAAATCAAATCCTAAGTGAATGTTCTAGGTAGTGGGTGGGTCTCAGGCTAGCTTTGTTACTTATCAATAGCATCTACAAGTATTCCCTCCCCTGGCTGAATTCCTGAGCATGGTTGGAGGCTCTGTGGCTATAGATAATTCTGAGAACATGATGTTTCTCAGCCACGAAAGTACCTTGTTGCTTCTGGTTTTAAAATAGGGTGTGAAGAATCACTTAAATAGTCCAAATGATTGTCTTCCTTGGTCCAGAAAGAAATGTTTCCTTTTACAAAGTTAGCTTCAGCAGAGATATGGTTGCCCTGAATGTCTTTTTCTAGGACTTATAGCTTACTCATTTTTTAAGAGTGGAGGGTTGTGGATAGGGCAAGCTGGAGATGGTCTACAACCTAGTGATGGGCAAGAGCAACATGTGCAGTCACATCTAGAAGAACTCCTTACCAGGTGCTGTTACCTCTGTTAGCTCATTTGAATTGCATGATTCTCAGGACTTAGGCAAGGAAGGACTTATCATCTACTTTTACAGGTGAGAAAACTGACATTCAGAGTAAGGCAAGCTGACCCAGGCCTCAGACACAGATCTTCTGAGCAAACCTTCTGTTGTTTCCAAATACCTCCTAATTACAAAGCTACAGCAGGGCAGGGTGTTTGGGGTGATCTCACAGTCAAACAAAGAATGAGTTTCTTATTTGCCAGGTGGAATGAGGCAACCGGTTGGTAATACCAGGGCCTAATGTTCAAATAAATGCCAGGAATCCTGCCAGGCTTGGGATGCAGGTATATTCCAAACAAAACAAAACTAAAACCTTTGAGTGTCTATTGAGACTCTGAGTTGCTCTTGCCTTGGTCCTAAGTGATTCAATCACTGGGGATTGAATCTAAAATCTTTGTCAAAAGGGATTTATTCTGAAGACTGTACTTGAAATAAACTATATCTTAGAGGTAGTGAGAAAATGCTTAACTTGGAAAAGCAAGACTGACAGGGTGTAGTCAAGGGATGTAAAAGTTGTTTTCAAATACTTGAAGGGTTTCCGTGGGAGAGAAGGCTCCCACCTGTGCCAGGTGGCATGATCACTGGGTAAAGGGCATGGTGAGAATGGCTTCAGTCTAACACAAAGACCACTGTCCCAACAGAAATGGAATCTGGTGACCTCATGAGGTGTGTGCTCCATGGCATTGGAGGTACAAGTGGATATCCAAAGACAAATTAAAGATGAAAGTCAAGTATCAGATGGAATTTAATTACCTGCAAGCTACCTTCCAGGCTTAATGTGCACATATCTCAGTTTTATACTATGATATGAACCATTCATCGTCACTGCCCACATAGAATATCAGACTGCCTATTGTGAGGAGATGGGCTGGGGAGAACAGGCTCTCAGCCTTTTGGGGTCCTACAGTGTAGACAAATGGGTTTGACTGCTCTGTGCCTTGAAAGGGGGCTTTTGATGAAGATAAGATTCTAGAAAACAGGTGTCCACTGATGGGTCCTGATTGCCAAACTGACAGCTGGGGAATACTTCTGATGTGCGTATTTTCATAGAAAAAGAAGTTTGAAAATTTCAGTGAAGGACATGGGAGAGTACCCCAAACTGAGGGCAGAGCTACCTGAACCAAATACACTTGCCTGACCAGGACTCAGAGGAGAAAAGGACACTCATCTGATCCTAATAATTTAAGAGTTTCACCATATGTTTACTCCAAGGTACACAGCTCTGGCCCACAGAAAGGAACCCTTGCTCTGGGCTTTTCTCACTAAACATGTGATGATCTGAGAATGGAAATATGTCTGTGCCATCTGTGTCCTTATGAGCTCACAGAAGTGTGTATGTACACACTCGCAGATGTGATGAATGAGAAAGTGATTATTCAGAGCCTTGTATTTAGTTTATGCTGTAATAAATTATTCTGTACAAAAGAGGCAAGTATAATCTATAATTCTAGTGTTTTAAAATCAATCTTTCTCCTTCTCTGCAGTGAAGTCTTTCACTCTGGCTAACAAAATGGTGCGGTCTATTCCAGTAATGTTGAATCAAAGAAACATCTTTATAAAGTTCTAGGCATTTCCTAACACTATAGATACAATTATTCCCTGCTTTATAACAGGGCGCTGCAGTCTACAAAATACATTCATACTCATTCTCTTAGTTAAACCTCATAACTATCATAGGAGGAAGGCAGGGCAAGGATTACTATCCTCCAGACCCTCCAAAAATCACAGTAACTTGTCAAGGGCATAGGGGAGCTAGAGCTACATTCAGACACAGAACTTCTGCCAAAGAGTTCCCTGTTCCGTCACTCTCCCATGTTGTTTCTCCTGGATGAAATGTTTGTAGCACTGAGAAACAAGAAGGCAAGCAAGGAAAAGCAACCATCCAATGGATTGCTGTCACAAGTGTAATTGCTTCCAGAAAGGGTTTTTAGTTCTCATAGAAGTTCTCTTGAATTTGATCATCAATCACAGAAAAGGTCAACTCCCATAGCTGAGGAGTAAAATCCTATAACCAGAGCCCTGTGAGTCTACTTCATGTGAGCAGATACAGCTCTGGTTTCTGACCTCAGCCTCCAGAAGCATTGTATCTCTGCTTGAACTTTGCTCAGCCTCTGCTTTGTACAGCATTTTAGGGTCATATGGATTCTCTCTTGGCTGTGTGCTGAACTCACTTCCTTATTCAGTCAGTAGCTCACTCATTCTTGACAGCACTCAGTAACTCACTCCTTCCAGGCACACAAGAACTTACTTCCTTAACTCAATATTTTTGTTCATACTGCTTTCTGTTTGGAGGCACCAATAATTATTACTCTTATCTCCACACCCAAATCCCATCCATTTCTCAAGACCCAGTTAGAATGCCACCTTGTCTGCCAAGCCAGAAGGCAGATCTCTTTTGTCTACATGCTGCTCACATGCCACATATGTGTCTTTTGTGTGGCAGACAGCTCCTTTTATTTTTTAAGATTTCATTTATTTATTCATGAGAGACACACAGAGAGAGGCAGAGACATAGGCAGAGGGAGAAGCACGATCTTCAAGGGGAGCCTGATGTGGGACTCGATCCCGGGACTCCAGGACCACACCCTGAGCCACAGGCAGACTCTCACCTGCTAAGCCACCCAGGTGTCCCAACAGACAGCTCTTTTTACCATATATTATGGTCCTGTAGTGTTTTGACTTCCTCCAACTCCCACTCAACCCCATTTTAACTAGAGAGAACATTCTCTGAGGGTAGGGACCAGGACTGATTCATCTCATCTACCCACATTGAACCTAGCACAGGGCAATGGTTGGGGCCCAGCAAGCAGCTGTGTGGCATGATTGAATAAAAAATATAATCACTGGGATATTTTGTTGATTTATTTTTCCTCCTTTGTCCATGAACATCTGTTTTCAGTACAAAGAAACTTAACTAAAACAATAGGACTATGAATAAAAACAACAAAAAGTGCAAAGTATAGTGATTTCAACATTGAGCTTACTCAGTTTGGCTCTGCAAACCTGGCGGGGTGCAGAGGTGTGCTGTGGAGTTAGAGTTAGGAACATGGTGCAAAGACTTTCTCATATGTAGGGGACCTTAGAGGAGAATTTGTGTGCAGCTACAAAGGCTCTCCCAGGAATATACCCAATCCAAGGGGAGGGAAAATTGAGGCAAGCAAACCTGATTAAAAACCAACATTGGTTATTAGAGAACAAGGGAAAAGTTTGAGTACAACTGGGTATGTATTTTTCTACCTGTTCTCTGGTTTCACTCTAACTTTAGGAGTTTTTGCAAGGACTTGAAGAAGAGAAAGCTATGATAGAGAGAGGAAGAGGCAGAGGAGGGCAGAGGGAATCCACGTGAGGCCTCTGTCACCTGTCAGTGATGTGACTGTGGGAGCACAGACAGGAAATGATTTGCTAGTGGCTGATGGTATCATGCAGAGACACATAGGTGACATGGACAGTCTAAGCATATCTCCAAATGGCGAAAGGAGATAGAAAGTGGCTGAAGAAGATGGAGTATGGCCAGGCGACACAGAGTGATCACGTAGTCAGAGAAGTCCCTGGCAACCAAGCTCAGGGTCAGACAAGGCCCACAGAAGCCTCAGGCAGTAGTAGAGTTCATCTCAAAGAGGTAGCCTGTACATAATACAGCCAATCCAGGTTGCAGGAGGAGAGAACATGGTGTAACCAGGAGCCCTGCATGCAGCATCACATGTAGACGGCTCCTGTGGAACTTCTCAATGACTCAGGAAGGACTAAAGAGTGGTGGGCCTTCTATGATCCTGTTTTGGACTATGTATTGTTCCAGGTTTATGTGACCTGGGAAATATAGGTTCTAAAGATAGGCAAGATTCCTCCCCATTAGCTGAATGCCTATTGGGTGAAAGTACATATGGACATTTAGGGGGAAAACACTCTGAGAAAGCTCCGCAGAGCCCTAAAGCCACTCTGTCCCTGGCCTCTTAGTGACAGAGCAAAGCCCAAGAGGAAGTGGCTGCACAGCTGGCTGGATGCTCTTTCCTAAAAGCTAAGCCAGTTCTCTCTTCACCCAACACAAAACTAGCCTCGAGAATTTGGTGAACTTGATAGTCGTAAGAATCTAGCCACAATTTCATAGGTTTGGATCCTCCCTAAATGAATCTTGGACACCGATTTGGTCTGGATGCCAAGATTTGTAGTTGGGAAAGACCAAATCTTTGTATCTGCCCACACCTCGCCCTAGCACAGTCAGGAAAGTGCACAGATGTCCAGAGAAGAGTAGGTGGCTCAGCAGGAGTCCGGGCCTGCACCTGGGGCCTATGTGAGGGCAGAGCCGGATTTTGTTAGCATAGCAGTCATGCTAGCTGAAGTCATTGGCTCTCAGCCAATGCATGTCTGACACATGCGTGGCCCTGATAACACTTGGATAGATAAAGGCGATCTCTGATGCCCTTTTGGGCAGGGGTATATGTCAGTTAAGAGTACAAGCTTAGGGGTCAGAGCTCTAACCCAGATTTCCTGATTTGTGATTTGAGCAAATTAGCCACTGCATCTAAATCTTGGTTACCTTGACTCTTGGCATGGGAATATTATTTATTACCTTGTTCATAACTGCAAAAATCAAGAAAATTAAATGTGGCAATAACTTCTTTTCCTTCATCTCTAAAGCTTTAAGGAGGATTCTTAAGTGTTAGTCTCGCACAGAGTATAGCTGTTTAATGTGTTCTATGAATCAGTAAAGGAGTAGATAAAACAATGCATAAATGAAGAACGAATGAACTAACAAACACATATAAACTTTTAGGATTGAATGGCTGTAATTCTATTTTAATTAAAATGTAATTATCCACAATTTGCTAATTATTTAAAATTATTCTTTTTTATGTAGTCTGTTGATTCTTATTTATTTAAACGAAGGTATAGAATGACCTACTTCCAGCCTTTGTTTACAGAATCAATCATTTGGAATTCTAAAGAGCTAACTTTTTTTTTTTTTTTTACTTCATTTTGCAGGCTTGTCATCCCATTATCTGATCTTCCTGAAGGCTTGCTTTTTAAAATTGGTCCTTGTTGGATGACATCCAAGTCTACCAAAACTCTCATGAAATGCAAAGATCTGCACAAAGTAGTCCAGACTCAGACGTATTTGTAGGTAGTGTTTACTTGGTCTCTTTGCTGCCACGTTGTTAGTTCGCCGTCTCCAGGAAATAGTCCATGGAAATTCGTAGGCTTCTTTTGGAACATGGTTCTCAAACGACCCACCATGAAAATCCCCACGGGCTTTATTAGGAATAAAGTTCTGGTCCCAACCTCAGACATAGTCAGAGAATCTCTAGGATGGGTCCTGGGGAGATGTAGCCTTATCAAACTCTCCAGGTGATTCTGATGATGAATCAGATGTAATCCTAGGAGAGTAGATTAGATTTCCCTAAATGTGATATATTGCACTTGTCCCCATCTATAATTTTTCTTGCCAACTCCTGTAGCGCTGAGAGAACTTTTTGTGATGTATTTCCTTTGGAAATACTGTATTTGTCACCATGTATTCTCTACTCCATTTTATTTTTATGACTCTGGTGAGAAGAAATCCCACTGTCAGACATCTTTCCTTTGAGTAGACCCCAGTTATCCCTGTTCTTTGTTAAAACTCTAAGTACTCCATTCTTGACAAAACAATTACCTACCAGCTAAGTTCAATGAGGAAAGCATTGCCACTAGCCAGAGGCAAAAGTATAGAATGATGTGTAATGTCTTGTATTCTTGGAGCTGGTTGAAAATTTATGCAAAAACTCTGCCCCTTAAATTTTCCATCCGATTCACTCTTCAGATAAGGGAGAAAAAGAATAAGTGATCTTGAACCATGCCCAGGTCTGGATAACTCAAAGGAATTCTCATCCCCCTAACCTGGTTAGATCATCTAGGATTGATTAGTAAGAAATTAATTTGTTTCAAAACATCACTTTAGAGGTCTATATTCTCCTTAGAATAGACCACAGGATCCAGCTCACTTTGGAATACATAAATTCATACCTTGGCTTTGTAACCATCTCAACTCATCAAGGCTGTTTTCTTCCCAGGGAAGCCTCTTAGATTGACAGATATAATTGAACCCCTGTTCTTGGAGCAGAAACACCGATTTCAGAAATGCTATCACCTTTCTGTTCAGCATCCTTCAGTGATCTCAATACTTATCAGCATTTTCAGTAGTAGTGAGGGAGGCAGAGAGGAGGGTTTAGTGTTCCCCATGGTATTGATCTGACAGCATTGGGGCATTGTTGGGCACTAGTCAGACCCTGGTTGGTGACTTACCTGACAAATACAGTTAACACTTGACAGTCATTCTCACTTGCATTTACTGTGTTCGGTAGACAAGCCATGCAACTGGCAGTCTGTGTAGATTTGTTCTTGCAGCCAGTCATACAGAAAGCCCTCCCAAAAATTAAATTTTTTTCCCAAATATTAAATTAAACAAACATTCTGTTTCTATGCAGCTACTAAATGCACAGAGTACTCGGGCAATGTGGCATAAGCTTGGCAAGCTTAAAGTCCTTGACAATAGTCAATATGTTTCCAGCAGCATAAAATGAGCTATTGAATTCTCCTGGAACATTTTAATACTTTAGGCAGAAAAAAATGGTTAGCCTAAACTCAGGTGGTTTCATGGAAAATTTTATAACAGGGACAGAAGAAATTAGAGGCTTTGAGGTGAGGTTACTGGGTGAGAGCAAGTTGAGGGCATGGGAAGGTGAAATTTCATATAGTAGGTGGTTTCTCTTTCCCCAAAAGAAATGAGTAGATGGTGTCTACATAGATTCAGGGGGTACAAATATCAGGAACCCTTGGTTCTTTTCTGAAGTTGGATTTCCACAGACACTGAGACATGGGTTTGTGTGTAATTATTTTATTAAGGAACTGTTCTTAGAGAAACTGGTGAGGGAGTGGAAGAAGAAACAAATAAGAATGTGAATTTGGGGAAAGTTTAAACCTCAACCTGATGCTGCCAAGGAACTTTGGGGTGTAAACTTCACCCCAGTGTCCCAATTCGTGGCAAGGGAGAAGAGCCTCACAGACTCCAGCCTTAGTCATTGACTCAGGACTGCTTGGGCCAGGTGGGGGTGGCTCCAGGCACTTTTGGGTCTTTGCCAGGACAGGCAAAGGGGCTCAAGAGTAATCCTCTGCAGGTCATTGGAAGAAACATACAAACGCCAGTTGAGGCATGGGATGCACTACACAAGGATCCAAACAGACCACAGACAGTATTTGTTCTAGTTCTATTTTCCACTCTGCTGCTATTTTATTTTTTTTAAAGATTTATTTATTTATGATAGACATAGGGACAGAGAGGCAGAGACACAGGAGGAGGGAGAAGCAGGCCCATGCCGGGAGCCTGATGTGGGCCTCGATCCCAGGACTCCAGGATCGCGCCCTGGGCCAAAGGCAGACGCTAAACTGCTGAGCCACCCAGGGATCCCCTCTGCTGCTATTTTAAAGGAAAAACTCTGTAAGCATCTGCCCAATCTGAAAAAATGGAATACCATAAAGCAGATTCCCTAGGCAGGGACAGTGTGATTTATTCATTTATGTATTATTTATTGAGCACCTACCCTATCTGCCACTCCCTGAACTAAGTACTTGGATTTGAAGAATGGTCCTTTCCCTTGGATGTGATAAGAACCATTACTGAATATTTTTCCATCTCTTTGTGTCTTCCTCAATTTCTTTCAGAAGTGTTCTATAGTTTTTAGGGTATAGAACCTTTACCTCTTTGGTTAGGTTTATTCCTAGGTATCTTATGCTTTTGGGTGCAATTGTAAATGGGATTGACTCCTTAATTTCTCTTTCTTCAGTCTCATTGTTAGTGTATAGGAATGCGGCTGATTTCTGGGCATTGATTTTGTATCCTGCCATGCTGCCAAATTGCTGTATGAGTTCTAGCAATCTTGGGGTGGAGGCTTTTGGGTTTTCTATGTAGAGTATCATGTCATCGGCGAAGAGGGAGAGTTTGACTTCTTCTTTGCCAATTTGAATGCCTTTAATGTCTTTTTGTTGTCCGATTGCTGAGGCTAGGACTTCCAGTACTGTGTTGAATAGCAGTGGTGAGAGTGGACATCCCTGTCTTGTTCCTGATCTTAGGGGAAAGGCTCCCAGTGCTTCCCCATTGAGAATGATATTTGCTGTGGGCTTTTTGTAGATGGCTTTTAAGATGTCGAGGAAAACTGTGTGGAGGTTCCTCAAAGAGTTAAAAATAGACCTGCCCTACGACCCAGCAATTGCACTGTTAGGGATTTACCCCAAAGATTCAGATGCAATGAAACGCCGGGACACCTGCACCCCGATGTTCCTAGCAGCCATGTCCACAATAGCCAAACTGTGGAAGGAGCCTCGGTGTCCATCGAAAGATGAATGGATAAAGAAGATGTGGTTTATGTATACAATGGAATATTCCTCAGCCATTAGAAACGACAAATACCCACCATTTGCTTCAAGGTGGATGGAACTGGAGGGTATTATGCTGAGTGAAGTAAGTCAATCGGAGAAGGACAAACAGTGTATGTTCTCACTCATTTGGGGAATATGAATAATAGTGAAAGGGAATATAAGGGAAGGGAGAAGAAATGTGTGGGAAATATCAGAAAGAGAGACAGAACATAA